TTTCTTTGAAATATTTTGGGTAATCTGGAGGCATGCGGCTTTGAAAAAATGTTTCATCAGATATATGAATGCACAAGTAGGTCCAACTTCATTTTCTCTGTGACACGAATACATATTTTAATCCTTCAATCTGAATCGACAAATTCATGGTATCTTTTGTGACCTTACACTCAGTATCTTGTTCATCATTACTGGTATTCTCAAGCAAAAAGAAATTTGTGAAGAAAGCATCTGATGGAAAGTTTTCAATCTTCGATAAACCTGCAATTGAGATTGAAATAATATTATACAAAAAATAAGGAAATAAAAGACTTTAAAAGTGCAAATAACAATTGACACCATGACAGGATATCCTTCATGATATCCAATGACACAGCTAAGGAATCTATAATTTTTAATAAAGATGTTGTTTTTTTTCCATTCAGATAACAAATTATGGTTTTCAAAAATTAAAAGAAACCCTACCTATTTCTAAAACATTATTTTTTCTACTTTTTAAATATCAAACGACTTAACTGCAAATTCGTCAATTTATGGTTTGGTCTCAGATTTCACCAAAAAATTGTTGAAATTTGACACAGCGTAATGAAAAATCCTACAAGATAATTGATCCAATTTTATTTTCTTGCTATAGATATGTTTATGTTTTACTAAAAAATACTAACATGGGACAAATTTAATTAACATATAACGTTCATTTACGGGACAAAAAAATGTACATCACGCTTGCATTCCGCCATTTTATTTTTCGGATTTTTGTCACAGTTAATAAAATTTGAACCTGTAAAATTTCATTTTATCTCACTAAAATTCCATAATCTTAATGTTTAACCAAAGATATTTAAAGGATCTATCAAAATATTCTGTCAGTTTTCTTGTAATTTACTTATTTAAACGAAGTTTTGCAGACAAAAATTACCCTTTCACGGCGATCAACACAAAACATCAGTTCGATTGAAATTTTTATTTTTTCAACAGACACAGTTTTACACATTAGATACTTTATACACCATGTTAAAAATACATCGGATCAATGTCATGATACTTACAGAATTATTTCATTTACTTTCTGGGGACTTCAACCCCATAAAGTAAACATACCGATCAATTTTCTTGACGAACATTTCCTCCGCCTTGAACTAAATTTGTAAAATGGCGGCGCTGATTCCCGATTGGAGGAAAACACAAAGGAGCGCTAATCGCTGTGTTTCCCGTCCCCTTATCTTATGTCCCAGGTATTATTTCCCTTTTAACACCAGGGCTTTTTTTCACAGACTGGGGAAGCAGCCCTGCCCTTAATTTTGGGGAAAATTACACAGTATATTTGCAAAAGGGGATGAAAAAACTTGATTTAAATTCAATTTTTGGGGAAAACTGCATGATTTTAAAGAATTTTTCTTTGGGGAAGCAGCCCTATAACAGATAATTTTATAAGTCCTTAACAAATATGTTACATATGCAAAGTGTAAAACAAAACAGGTTAAAAAACTTCTTTATGCTCAGATTCATTGTCCCCGGCAACACCTGTCAGCATACATTTCATTCAGTTTTCAGAGAAAAATTTAAAGTATAATGTTCAGTGTCAAAGAATTCAATGTCAAGATACAATGTACATGTATAAATGCCAGTTCTAAACAATATTTAATCCAAATTTATAGAATAAAGGTAATGGGGCAATGATCTTGAGCAAATAAGGTTGTTGGACACATTTCTATTTAATAAGAATTTAAGATTGCAGCATAATTTTTATGAACTTTAAATATTTTATTTCCAGAAAATGGGAAAAGGGGAAATAATGCTAAGAAAATAAAAGATATTAACCAAATTTATTTCATTTTGATTTGTGTCATAATTATAAAAATCAAAACAAGTTAGAAAGAAATATATTGATTATTTTATTAGAAATATGATATTTTGTCTTAAGCCCCATCAGGCATTTTCACCAGCCTGTTAAATAAATGTATCCATTATGTTTGAATTTTATAGTTTTAGTTTACAACTGGGTTTTTCAAATATTGTATTTTACAGGGCTCTTAATTGGCACAGGTATCCAAGTCTTGAATCATGAGCAAGAATTTGACTTCACAAATTATGTGTTATATAAACATGAAAAAGGGGAAAAAATTCTCACAAAAGTAACAGTAACCAAACATTATCCTTTCTGTTTATGTCATATCTTATGCTTAATAAACAAACAAAGTTTAAAAGAAGAAAAAAATATATTTTTCTTAAAATATGATTTTATATGTCATAAGCCCGATCAGGCATTTTCACCAGCCTGAAATCTGCCCACAAGTCAAGTTGGCATGCAGGACTTTTCTGTTAATCTAAATGCAAATAATGGCATGATGCATCATTCCTTTTTCTCAAACTACCACATTCATAATAAAATAATTTTGACATCCGCTGCTCTTGTAATTAATTTCAATTTCTCAAACAAAAAATATTTCAACAAAGTTGTAAGGGGGGTATACTGAAATCAGCTTGTCTGTCCGGCTGTCTGTCGGTTTTTCCTTGTCTGCCCAACAACTTAAGATTCCTTTGACCCACAGCCTTCATATTTGGCATGGAGGATGGATAGTCATGATGAGATAACCCCTATTGATTTAGAGGTCACTGGGACAAAGGTCAAGTTTACAGGGGGCCGGGCCTTGACTGAAAAAAGTTTGTCTGCCCAACAACTTAAGATTCCTTTGACCCACAGTCTTCATATTTGGCATAGAGGTTAGTCGTGATGAGTAGATGACCCCTTTTGATTTTGAGGTTGCTGGGTCAAAGCTCAAGATCACAGGGGCCTTGACTGAAAAAAGCTTGTCAGCCTTATTACTTAAGATTCCTTTGACCCACAGTCTTCATATTTGGCATTGAGGTTAGTCATGATTAGTAGTTGACACCTAATGATTTTAAGATTGCTAGGTCAAAGGTCAAGGTCACAGGGGCCTTGACTAAGAAAAGCTTGTCTGCCCAATAATTTTAGAATCCTTTGACCCAAAGTCATTAGAAGATTACTCCCATTGATTTTTGTGGTCACTGGGTCAAAGGTCAAGGTCACAAGGGCCTTGACTAAGAAAAGCTTGTTTGCCCAATAACTTACGAATCATTTGACCCACAGTCTTCATATTTGACATGGAGGTTAGTCATTATGAGAAGATGACCCCTATAGCTTTTGAGGTCACTGGGTCAAAGGTCAAGTTCACAGGGGCCAATAATTTAAGATTTATGTGACCCACAGTCTTCATATTTGGCATGGAGGTGAGTCATAATAAGTAGATGACCCCTATTAATTTTGAGGTAACTGGGTCAAAGGTTAAGGTCACAGATGCCTTAAGCTCAAACATCTTGTCTGCTCAATTGCGTAACAATGCTTTGGTCAACAGTCATATTTAGCATTGAGGTTGGTTATGACTGGTAGATGTACCCTATAGATTTTGAAGTCACTAGGTCAAAGGTCAGAAGGGCCTTGACTAAAAAAAAGCTGGTCTGCCCAATAACTTACGAATCCTTTGACCCACAGTCTTTATATTTGGCATACAGATTAGTTATAACCATTACATGACCAGTAGTGATTTTGAGGTCACTGAGTCAAAGGTCAAGGTCACAGGGGCCTTAAATAAAAAAAGTTTGTCTGCCCAATATCTTAAGAATCATTTGAGCCACAGTCTTTATATTTGGCATGGAGATTAGTCATAACCATTACATGACCAGTAGTGATTTTGAGGTCACTGGGTCAAAGGTCAAGGTCACAAGGGCCTAAAGTTCAAAAAGCTTGTCCGTTTAATTGCTTAAGAGTGCTTTAGGTAACAGTATTTATATTTGGTATTGTGGTTGGTTTTGACTAGTAGATGACCCCTATTGATTTTTAATGACTGTGTCGAAGGTCAAGGTCACAGAGGCTTTACTACAATAAGCTTGTCTACTCAAATGATTAAGAATGCCTGTCTAACGTGTTATTGATTTTGACATTTTTCACATCTAAAGCATATACATGTAATTATGTTCTCATGTATTCATCATAAAACACCCACAGGCAAAGCTGCATAAATGGGGGTATTCAAGTCATGCAGTGGCAGTTTCGGTTTTGAGGTCAGTAGGTCTAAGGTAAAGATCACTTTGATTTTTGTCACAAAAAACATGTAGAATACATAATTTAGCAATGCACTGGCTTACTATCCTCAGATTTGGCAGGGAGCTCGAGATCTAAATGACCACTGTAGATTCTGACAAAGTGGTATGCGGGGGTATTCACGCCATGACAGTGGCAGTTCTAGTTTTAAAAAGCCAAGATCAAATGACAAGACCTGGATTGGGATATACTGGTTATTATTATGGAATATTTAAGGGTAAAATAGCATAATTTGGAAATTTAAATCAGTATCTTTTACACAAAATGAATTCAATATTGTAAAAGGTGTCATTCTGGCACAAGTTCAAAATTTGCCTCATATACATAATGATGTATCAAAACCAAATATACCTTATAACCAAAGCGCATTTATTGGTCCATAATTATACACATTTTCCCCCATGTTAAGACTTTACTACTTTACAAAAATTGAGGGAAAGTTTTTAAAAAACTTATCTGTTTGTTGATACACCCTTGCATCACTTGCAATTCATCAGTTATCTTTGATTATTTGAGCCGCGTCATGACAAAACTAACATAATGGGTTTGCGACCAGCATGGATCCAGACCAGCCTGCGCATCCGCGCAGTCTGATCAGGATCCATGCTGTTCAATTACCGAGCCTATAGCAAGTAAAGAAATTGATAGCGAACAGCATGGATCCTGATCAGACTGCGCGGAAGCGCAGGCTGGTCTGGATCCATGCTGGTCGCAAACCCATTATGTTCGTTTTGTCGTGACGCGGCTCATTTGATTATTTGTACATCTAGCCAGAAGGAGGTGAGGTCAGTATGTGCCTTCTTAAGTTCTTGTTGACCAAATTTTAAAACATGTTTTTCAAAACTGGTCCTTTTAAACAACTTTGATATAATTTCAGAGAACTTGGGTTAATAAGAAAGAGGACTCTGTCAAGTTCAAGTACATCTAGACGAGGATTTAACAGTGGTTCTTTAGGTATTACATTTCTATTGGCCACTTTTATCACAATTGACCAATAAAAAGTCATATTCTTTAAACAGAATAATATTTTATGATGCAATTATGCCATTGAAATATGCATGTATAATAAATATTTATTTAACCCCTTCATTTGATCAGTGCTGGTGCCTGCAGATTCTACCCATGAGACCTGTGCTAAACCATCTTGTTTGCTATTCAGTCAGAAATCGTTATAAAATTTCCCCTAAATATCATGATGAAATTTTTTTATAGAAAAAATTTAAATGGACAAGGCCAAGGGAAACTATATGAAGTGTCTTAGGACTATTACAACAAGCTCTGTTTATGTTAGCAAATTGTCTTTTCATAAATTTGTGACAGAATGTCAGACTCAGTGGTTCTGCTCAGATGAAATAATGTATGGAGGGCACCTGTGCTCTTCATCCACCAGTCTGAGAAAAGATGGAAAGTCGCCATATGACCTATACTGTGTCAGTTTAATGTAAAACCCAACAAAAAAAGAATTTATATACAACTTAAATATTTCTTGATCCTTGTCTAAAGGTTGAATCACATACATGTAGTTATATTTGTATTGTCAATTTTAATGCATTTACCTGTTCTTTACTATTGCAGCACAGGCCTTCAAGTACCTGATTGTTATTGATTTTGAGTCAACTTGCTGGCAAGATGCAAAATTTAGAACTCAAGAAATTAGTGAGTCAATTTTATTGCTGTTATTTGCTGTATGTGGCTAGTTTTGTAAGGAAAGTGATAGATAATTTTGAAAAATGGCCTAATAAACTTACAAAATTTCAGAGGGAGTTAATTGTAATGCTCTTTTGAAATGGCGAAGATCAACATTTCTGTTGACTTTTTTAACTGTTAAACAAATTCACACATAGTTATTGAAATAATCAGTTACAGTAAGTCATGTGACTCAAGAGGCATCGCCTACTATCAAACTCCCACCTATCATCTAAAATGTTCAACTAAGCACTGTTAATGGGCATTAAATTTAGAAATTTGATAAGGCTTGAAATCATTAATTGATTAAATGTATTCAACGGAGCTATAATTCATAATGTTAAATAAATTCACTAATATAAATCAAAGCATTTTAATTGATAAAGGTTTGTTCATTTCATGATTGTTTTACTGGCTCGAAACTTATAGAAGCCCATTTATATGTTGTATTAATAGCATTTCTGCTTTCATCATTATAGAACTACAAAATCAATTGAATATTTTGTGTTTCTTTTGTTTAGTTGAGTTTCCAGCTGTGTTATTGAACACTTTTTCTGGTGAGGTTGAGAGCGAATTTCATCATTATGTTCAGCCACAGGAGCAACCAACACTCAGTGCATTCTGTACTGAACTAACTGGAATCACTCAGGTTAGGCTCAGGTTATATTTTCTTTTCTCATTTATAGGAGCTAAATTCATTGGAATTATAATTTTTACCTGACATTTTGTTGATGTTTTTAGCTCACCTGTCACAAAGTGACAGGGTGAGCTTTTGTGATCGCTTTTCGTCCGTCCTCCGTCCGTCCGTCGTCCGTAAACTTTTACTTTAAATGACATGTCCTTATAAACCACTTAGCCAATTTCATCCAAACTTCACAGGATTGTTCCTTTGGTGGTCACCTTTGAAAATTGTTCAAAGAATTTAATTCCATGCAGAACTCTGGTTGCCATGGCAACCAAAAGAAAAAACTTTAAATTTCTTCTTCTAAAAAACCCAAAGAGCTAGAGCTTAGATATTTGGCATGAAACATCTTATAGTGAGTGTCTACCAAGTTTGTTCAAATAAAAGCCCTAGGGTCAAAATTGGCCCCGCCCCAGGGGGTCATTGATTTTCCCTATATGCATATAGTAAAAACTTAAAAATCTTCTTTTAAAGAACCCAAAGAGCTAGAGCTAAGATATTTAGCATGAAACATGTTCTAATGGATGTCTACCAAGTTTGTTCAAATAAGAGCCTTTGGGTCAAAATTGGCCCCGCCCCAGGGAGGTCATTGATTTTCCCTATATGAATATAGCAAAAAACTTAAAAATCTTCTTTTAAAGAACCCAAAGAGCTAAGATATTTAGGATGAAACATGTTCTAATGGATGTCTACCAAGTTTGTTCAAATAAGAGCCCTTGGGTCAAAATTGGCCCCGCCCTAAGGGACATTGATTTTCCTTATATGTGTATAGCAAAAACTTAAAAATCTTCTTTGAAAAAAACTTGAATAGCTAGAGTTTAGATATTAAGCATGAAACATCTTCTAGTAAGTGTCTACAAAGATTGTTCAAATAAAAGCCCTGGGGTCAAAATTGGCCCTGCCCCAGGGGTGTAATTGTTTTTAAATATATGTGTAAAGAAAAAACTTAAAAAATCTTCTTTTAAAAAACCCAACGAGCTAGACCTTAGATGTTTAGCATGAAACATCTTCTAATGGGTGTCTACCAAGTTTGTTCAAATAAAAGCCCTGGAGTTTAAACTGGCCCCGCTCCGTGGGGCATATATACAGGTGAGCGACTTCAGGGCCATCATGGCCCTCTTGTTTAAATTAAAGTTTTGAACACTATATGAATTATGCTAGATCAGACCCTCAGATTATTTAAAATTTATTGTCCTAAGGAACAAATACAACCAAAAGTAGTAATTAAACCATTAGACTGTTTAAATTTGTAATTTATCTGGTATTGACAGTATTATATGTTTACTTTTGTATTTAGCTTAGTATTGCTGAGCCTCACATGTTGGTAAATCTTTGATGAAGAAATGATTTGTCATGTTACGGTTCAACAACTTTATTTCAGGAATATGATAAGCATCAACTTTTTACTTAAAATTTGAATGGAATCCAACTACTTTGTGTTAAACGATATTTCCAATGCACAAAAATATGGAATTTTCATTTAATGTCAGACTTCAAAATAGATGCAGAGCTATTATACCATTCTGTATATTCCATATACATGTACAACAGTTATGTTCTTTGATCACTCAACAAAATTATAATTAACCAGTTTTAAATATTTATTTCAGTCTCAAATTGATGAAGGAATCCCCATTAATTTGTGTTTAAAGAAGTTTGGTTACTGGCTTGACAAATTGTACAGAGAGAAGGGTGTGGTATGCCAGGGAACCAGAACAGATACAAATTCACCAATTAACACTACATGTGTGACATGGTCAGGTAGGTGATCAGTAACTTTCATTTCATCATTGCTGAGAAATGTTCACATGTTAAAAACATGCTTATTTTTCTCAATTTTCTCAAGTCTTACATAAAAGTTAATAATGATTAGAATTAAATCTGAATAGATAAATTGTCTCTCTTATATCTACAAATGACTATTTACTTAAAATAAGACAAGGTGCCTCATGCATATTTATATTCAGTACTTTAAGTGAATTTTAACATGTATAAGTTATAACATGTGACTAATGGACCATATTGCCACATACATGTACTTAACATTACAAGCTACAAAAGTTATTTCAATATTTTTATTTATCATTCACACTACTTTGTCATGAGCAAGTCCTATTATGCTATTTGAACTTTTACAAATGCACACTGTTATTTTTTTATATGTGGTGTTAAGCCCTATTATATAGTGGGAGATCATTTGTTGCAAATATTAATGATAGACAAAAAATGGCGTGTACTTAGTGAAAATATGCTATCAACCATTAAACTGCTCAATTACTTAAATGGACTTGTCCACTTTACATTTTTGGAACTGTCCAGTTATAAATTTTTAGGATATTAAGATAAAAGTTGGTAAGCCAATGTTATAAATGTACAGTCTGGCCAAGCTGGTACTTAGTGGCAAAGGCTAATCTATTTTAGTTCTATGAGGTGAAGTGTTTTAAGGTAATATATTTTGGATGTTCGGAGTTGATGATAATTCAATCATGTTTGAGTCACAAGTTTGGCATGCATGTTGGAAATAATTTTGGTATAATTTGTACTTTGAAATCATGTCATTTGTATTGTTTCACATTTTAGATTGGGATTTAGGCGTGTGTCTGCAATATGAATGCAAGAGAAAACAGCTACTTAAACCCCCTCAGCTCACGTCATGGATAGATCTGAGGGCTACATACAGGGTATATTCCTTTTGACTTTGTTTACAAAATGTACAGAGCTGTAGGAGAAAGTTATTACCCATCTATGCTATAGATTAAAACTCTGCCTGCAAGGGCCATTCATGAATTCATACATGTGTGTAACCTATCCAGCTAACTTGACCGAAAGTCTACTAGGGTGCCTACCTGTGCTTCATATTATGAATGCATAAAGGACCTCATGAGGGTTTGTGCTTAACTATAGCAGGAAAGTTTGTATTAAGGTGACAACGGAGTCAATTATCACTGAAAATACCTAAAATGAGATTTTTTGCTTAGTAGATTTATCAACCTTTTCTGAACACAATCGTGATTTAATTTTGGAAGCAGTTAGTCCAAAAAATGTGTTTTTAAACGTTTTAAAACTGTACCTGTACCATTTTTATCTGCTATTCGCGTAACCTGTCAATTATCTATAACGATCCGCCCCCTGTTGAGGCATCAATGAGGGAAATCGGTAGTTCCATATATCCGTGAATTACCGGTCCATACTGGTCCATACCACTCGTAATTCATGTATCGTACAAATACCGTACATGTTTTATTAATATCGTCTACCTTTTATTTGGCATTTTTTTATAAAATAAGAAATTGTCGGCCAATGTACGTAACATAATGTATGAAACATAAATAATTAAGCATAGCGGCAAATCGCATGACCACAGGGTTGATTAAAAATATAGTTGCTAAAATATCCATAATGTGTGAAAATAATTTGTCTGTCCCGTTAATCTGATAGATATTACATTGAGTTTATGGACTATTGTACGGATTCAAGGGCTTGCTTTACATTCAACCTCGTTTTCTAACAATGTCAAGTAAAACAACAACAAAAACAGACAACATTTTTTATGTGAACGCCTATAAGGTGTCCCTGACCAATTTCTAAACCATTTTAGATTGTTTAAGGATGATTATTTCTCTATGAATCAATAAAAAAAGATATTAATATATATTATCAGTGAATGCTTTGAATAAATTGTTTGCCAGTAAATCGAACAAAGTTCTAATAAACCTGGGACAAAGTATGGAATTTATTGTATATCCCAGTAGAAACTGGATATCTATGCCGTGCATAGATGATTTTCATGATAATAGAAGTCAAGAAGGTCAGATCATAATGATCGAGTGATACCTTTTATTTCTATTAAAATATGTGAAGCATTTATATCAATTTGGAGGAAAAAATATATAATATCCCGTTCTTATTTGTACATCTACCATGGCCTTTAAAATACCGTCAGAAGCTCAGTTTTTTGTTATTTTAATTTATATTTTAACGAAATTTCATACACGAATACACAGGCAGAGTGACACTGGTATAATATAATAATAATGCTGATGATAATAATAATAAACTTCAAAAGTGAAACAATTAAATACCCCGCTAGCGGTGCGCAAATACGTTCCATTCCCCCCCCCCACCCACCCACTGAGTGCCTCAAATTTTACCAAAAGTCACGTGACATGTGCGACCGATACCAGACGAACAGTAAATCATGTTAAGATTTGAAGAAATTTCTGTTATAAACTGATATTGATCAGCAACTTTTTAATTGGTCAGAAGTCACTGGGTCATAAAATGTTGTTAGAGTATGTAACCGCAACCTGTGACCCTCTCTGGTGCGATATTTGTGTATTATGCAATTATTTAGCGTGAAACGTAGGGGTCAGAGAGAGAACAGCCGATTTATGACACTTCCTTTGATGCGGGTCGGACTAACTTTGAATCAGCATAACTTTTTTAATAATCAAGCAATTAACATGCGGTTTAAAGCACATGAAAGGGAATTCATTTACGGAGGGAACCGTGTCAGGGATTTTTGTTTGCTCAATCAGCGACTTAATTATCTTTAATTACGTAATATGTATGGTGAAAAATGTCGCATAAATTGTTTGACGTTACGTAATATTTTTTGAGAAAAGATAGAAAAAAATTATGAGACACGGTTCCCCAGATATTATAAGTATGTTTATTTTCCAAAAGTTTGATAACAAAAAAATAAAAAATGACTTTGATATGACGATTTAAAATTTTAGGATTTTTATTAAAAATCAATCATTTACAAAGGCATTTTTTTCAAATATGTTATTTTTAGCTCGACTTTTCTATGAAAAGGGGAGCTATCCTACTCGCCCCGGCGTCGGCGTTAGCGTTGGCGTCACACCTTGGTTAAGTTTTTCGTACCACCCCACTTTATTTCAGAAGTATTACAAGTATGGCTTTGAAACTTACCATACTTGTTCACCATCATAACCTCCATCTACAGACAAGAGTACATAACTCTGTCAAGGTTTTTGACAGAATTATGGCCCTTTTTTGACTTAGAAAGTGTATTGAGCTTGGTTAAGTTTTTTGTACCACCTCACTTTATTTCAAAACCATTGGAGGTTTTGCTTTGAAACTGACCATACTTGTTTACCATCACGACCTTCATCAACAGACAAGAGGACATAACTCTGTCAAGGTTTTTGACAGAATTATGCCCCTTTTTGACTTAGAAAATACATTGAATATGGGTAAAATCCACTTATTGCCTTAACCCTTTGAGATATTGCTTTGAAACTTTTAATGCTATTTCACATCATTACCCCCATCTGTACGCAAGAGAAGGTAACTCTGTCAAGGATTTGTTTTTAAAAATTAAGGCCTTTTATCGACTTAGAATCTTGGTTAAGTTTTTTGTACCACCTCACTTTATTTCAAAACCATTGGAGGTATTGCTTTGAAACTGACCATACTTGTTTACCATCACGACCTTCATCAACAGACAAGAGGACATAACTCTGTCAAGGTTTTTGACAGAATTATGCCCCTTTTTGACTTAGAAAATACATTGAATATGGGTAAAATCCACTTATTGCCTTAACCCTTTGAGATATTGCTTTGAAACTTTTAATGCTATTTCACATCATTACCCCCATCTGTACGCAAGAGAAGGTAACTCTGTCAAGGATTTGTTTTAAAAATTAAGGCCTTTTATCGACTTAGAATCTTGGTTAAGTTTTTAGTACCAGTCCACTTTTTGACTGAACTGTTTGAGATATTAATTTGAAAGTTGGAATACTTGTTTACAATCATGATTCCCAAACATGTCCAGGAGAAGGTAATTCTGTCAAAGATTTTATTTGAATTATGGCCCTTAACTGTCAATGTTTTGTATTATAGGCAAGCACTAAAAAAGTCGAGCGCGCTGTCTTACGGACAGCTCTTGTTTATGATGATCAGCGACATTTAATGCACAAAGATTAAATAAATAACAATTATTACTAAAATAAGTTGGTTTAAATGACATTTATGTGAGTACCACGGAAAGTGTCTGTTGTCACCTTAAACAGATTTGATATGACTCTGAACCAACCAGAATTAATGTATGAATAGAATGAAATTAAGTCTTAATACATGTAAGAAAATAGTTACAAATAGTTCTAATAGCCGTAGAAAGGGACAGCTTGAGTTTCATATCAGCTAAAGAGTCCATGAATAGCAAGTTTTTAATAAGCAAGTACTGCCAAAAAAATGAAATTTTATGTGCTATATATTGTATTTGATGGAACATTTGCCAGTTTCTCCTTCCTTCTATCTGTCTTTCAGTAACACTTGATGTGTTTATACCTTTCATAGACTTTCACTTTGAGTAGGGTTTCAGGTCAAATGGTTAAAGTTGCTAAGGTCAAAAATAGATATGCCTTCATAGTCATCATAGCAAGGTCAAGTTTTTATTTTTGTAAAAAAAAGTATCATCGTTCGAGTATCCTTAGGTGTTGTGTTTGATATTGTTTTTAGTTCTATTTCTCTTTTACATTACAATTCTATTATTTGTATATTTCAGAAATTTTATGACAGGAAGCCAAATGGTTTGAACGGTGCTTTACAAGATCTTGGTATAGAGTTCCAAGGTCGAGAACATTCAGGTGAGATTATGTTTTCTGTTCTAAGCATAGCATATTTTCCTGCACCTTTTTCAGCTTTTTTAGCTCCACTTTTTGAAGAAAAAAAGTAGAGCTATTGTCATGACCCTTTTGTCAGTATTGGCATTGGTTAACCTTTTCATTAAGGTTTATTTTATATTTACCTATAAAAGCTATTTATTTCAAACTTTATATTCACATTTATTGTCATAAAAGGACGCCTTGCAACTATGCCCCCCTTTTTAGCTCGACTATTCGATAAGAATAAGTAGAGCTATTGCAGTCACCCGAGCGTCGGCGTCCGCGTAACCACTTATGTTAAAGTTTTTGTAATAGTTCAAATATTTTCAAAGTCCATTGACATATGGCTTTGAAACTTTGCACACTTGTTCAACCTCATGACCCCAACCTGTAAACAGGAGGAGGTAACTCTATCAAGCATTTTGACATAATTATGCCCCTTTTTCGACTTAGAATTTACGTTAAAGTTTTTGTAATAGTTCAAATATTTTCAAAGTCCATTGACATATGGCTTTGAAACTTTGCACACTTGTTCACCATCATTACCCCAACCTGTAAACAGGAGGAGGTAACTCTATGAAGCATTTTGACAGAATTATGCCCCTTTTTCGACTTAGAATTTACGTTAAAGTTTTTGTAATAGTTCAAATATTTTCAAAGTCCATTGACATATGGCTTTGAAACTTTGCACACTTGTTCACCATCATGACCCCAACCTGTAAACAGGAGGAGGTAACTGTAACAAGCATTTTTTTTACTATCAAGCACTAAGAATAGTCGAGCGTTGCTGTCCTACCGACAGCTCTTGTTGTGTCTGTCCATCAGTGAGAAAAGTGAACTGTGCTTTCTGCGGACAGATCTTATTATTAAAAGACTGTCTTTATTTATATCTTTATTTTGCTGTGACTTAAAACCAAAAGTTTTCTTTGTGTTTTTCCAGGTGTTGATGATGCAAGAAATACAGCAAAACTCGCGTTTAGAATGATCAAAGATGGCTGCCAGATGAAAGTTACAAAGACACTTAAGGTCAAAGTTTGACCATTATATACAATGTAGTTTGTTTAAAATGTCTAGTTAACAATATCCATCTGAAAGCTTTTGGAATGATTTTGTACAAGATAAAAGAGTACACACTCTGATGTGTTGAATGTATCAATGTTGTGCTGTTAAGGACCTGATACAAAAGTTTCCTTTTGTATTTTGTGCAGAGAAAAACATGGGGTTAATTTATTGATAAAACTACATTACTATTGTGTACATGTATGTGTTATTGAAAGATTTATGGTTCAGAGTTCAAAATAATTCAATAATTTTAGGACCATAGGGTTCAGAGGTCAAATATAAGACAAATAAACTAAAATTATACAATATTATATATACATGTACCAAATATCAAGGTGTGATATCAGGTCTATGATGTACATGTACTTCTGATGAAAATAAGTTCATATACATTTTTGTCAATAGAATTAGAAGTTACATTTTGCAGACAATGTTGAGGTTTGATATATATGATCAGTCTCTCATAAATAATATTTTTGTATAAAAAAAATCACAACCCTGCTAAGTCCAGATAAATGCAATTTAACCTTTAGATTTTTCCTTGTTAGATGTTTAAATGAATCCTGTATCTTTACTTGTGATATTTTTAAATAATGCATATTTTAAGTTTTTAGTAGCAAAAGATCTGTTAATTTTATATTTATGTGAAATATTTTAATTTTTGTTATTTTTTTTTTGTATCTACATGTATGAAATAAAATATGAAATTAATTGTAGTTCTTGTTGTTTTTTCAGACCCATGAAAGATCAGTTAGCTGTAATCCCACAATGCTACAATATGTTTCCAAGGCAACAAGAACAACTCCACCTAGAAACGCAAAAGAAAAATCAAATGGTTTAGGATCAAATACCACCACAGCTTTGGGTAAATCACCAAAAGAATCTCTTAAAACTTCAACAAATCTACCAAAAGACTCTCCCTATAAAATACCAGTAAGAACGAAGACACCAGAAAAATCTAGTTGTTTGAAAAAACAAGGTCCTGTTACATCAATAGGTAGTTGTTATGACTCAACATGTAGTGATAAGGGTAAAGCACCAAAAGAATCTCTGAAAAGTACCTCAAGTGCAAGAAATCTACCAAAAACCTCTCCCTCTAAAATACCTGTATTCAGGAAGACTCCAGAAAAGTCTAGTTGTTTTAATGAACAAGGTTCTGTTACATCAATTTGTAATTGTTATGACTTAACACATGACAAAGGTCTAGAGGATGTGAAAGCTTCTGTTCATAAGAAGAGAAAACAGTTTACACCTGTGAAAGACAAGAGTAAACTGAATACTAATTCACCAAGAAGAAAAATTCCTAGAAAATTTTCTCCCAAGAAATTTACATCTGCTGATATTTATGTTGATCCAGATGATTTTAATGATATGGAAATTAATACTCCTGGCATAGTAAAGTCTATGGAAGCAAAGAAGGGTCTCTCAGCACAGGATACTAACATTCAGATCATTAATAATGATAATACTGGGAATTTAAAGAAGGTGCCGGTAAAAGACAGTACAAAATGTTTTAAATTACCAAACCCTGTTGATAAATCTTGTGTTCAGTCTACATTTAAAACTCCTCAGTCATTCATAAAACCAAAGCCATTGATTGATTCTGTTGTATCAAAGTCAAGATCATTTGTCACTTCTACACCTGCTGGTGGAACAAATTGTAAAAGTGGATTTAACCAGTCTAAAATCATCAGCCCATTAACAAACCAGTCTGCAAGTGTGGCTGGTTTCTCAGACTGTGTTACGCCAAACACTTCCTGTCAAAGTGGGACTGGTTTCAAAACTCCTTATCAAACTGCAAGTTTTACTGGAAGCAATCACCAGTCTGGGTTTTCTATAAATAACTCAAATATGAAAGTGACTCCACCTCTTTGTAAATGTGGCCGTCGATCAAAGAGAAGAATGGTCCAATCACCTGGCCAGAACATGGGCAGATTTTTCTTTAGTTGTGCAGTAAGGAAAAGAGTGGGGTCAAAAGAAGGCTGTGATTTTTTCAAGTGGGAAACTAGTCTGAATACTCAGTCAATGTCACACAGTAGTTCCGTGATTTCAAAGCAGTTCACACCAGTTATAAGAGGTTTTCAACAAATGTCTGGGTTACCTCAGAGAAAAAGTCTTGGAGTAAGATCAATGACTACCCAGAAAGTGTACATGAGATAACTACATGTAGTATAGTTTATGTTTATTCATAGTGTGTACAATGCAGTTTTCAACATTTCCTTCAAAGTATTTTATGAAGATTAATTTACAATTTTTTAGATTTTAAATCAAATATGGGCTAGAGGCTTGTGAATAATTCTTATTAAACTTTATTCTGACTGAATAATTTAACATATGAATTTTAAGATATCTGATATCTCAAAATAATAGCATATATATTCCTGGCAAAAGGAAGTATTTATGTTTTATGTTCTGGCTTAAGTAGGTGCAACAATATATGAGTATATTTTGATTTATAAACTGCTGATATACTGGCATGCGAGCAGTTCCCGTACAAAAATCGTAGTAACTTAAAAATTATTTTTTATTATGCTCACTCACCAAAAAATTGAATGTTACACATCAATATTCGGCTCGTCACACAAATCATGGAAATTCCATTATGATCTAAACCAGAGACATAGATAACAGAGATAAGCAGCTCCTATATACTCCATTGAAATATCACTCATGCCTATAAAAAAGTGGAAAATTAGGCATTTTGTAGCAAATAAAACTTAATGGATGTACATATGATCCTTTAATATTATATACCATTTGAAAGGTAAATCTTTAATCTATGGCTGCATGTTAAAATATTGGTAACTTTCCATGCCTTTCACTTAGAAAAACATGGCAGAACATACCCACTGAGCCAGTTTTTTGTCATATGAATAGTTTTTTAACTTTCAGAAAATGTATTATTTTACTGATTTTGATATCTGGTTAATAAGTTTTACTTGCTACAAGTTTAAAGTTTAGTAGGCACGCGTGATATTTTAACTGGCTAGGAAGTAGCCTATCTCTGTTATCTATGTCTCTGTCTAAACATAGAATAACCCTTAGTTATGAGGTCTCATATGGGGTACCGAAATTATCCATTATTTTGTAGGAAGAGAAGTAGTTCCCGTACATAAAATATAACCCATTATAATTATACAATGTTGTTATATCAGACCAAGTTTTCATTTATAATTGTTGAACAGACCTTTTTCCCAGAGGTAAAATAGATGTAATTCAGGGAATAGAGAGTAGACTTAACGCTGGTATCTATTACCCGATGCCATTACCCCAAGGTATTCTCATTCAATGGCGTGCTTGTATGCATAATATTTTACGCATTAAAACCATAAAATTATTTAATATAGCAATGTAGGTCAAAATTCTGATAATTAAACAAGTTTTCATCGCATTTCCTACTTATCTGTACACATGTGGTATTAGTGGAGAACCCTTTAACACGCCTCATATGTTAGTATTTTTGCGCATGCGCGCAGGAACGGAATCCCCCAAAGTAAACAAGGTCACATTCAGACAACCCACAGGTGAAAGTGATTTAAAATGAAACTTTTTATAAGTACTGCGGAACTGACACGTAGAGTTTTTCTCGTTTATGCATCTGCTTGATTTGATATTATTTTTTGAACAATGCAAGTAAAAATCAAGCGTTTTAACGAAAAATACGGGTACTGCTTCTTTACAGGAACTGCTCGCATGCCATTATACTGCATAATTTTTTTTCAAAATAAATGTATACAATGATTATAGTGTGTTTCAAATCAGATGGGTTCAAGCACTGCAACGGCCAACCTATAAATGTACAAACCTCTATATCTTTTATAGTATGATTAGGAATTGGATAACAATTTTGAGAGCATAGTGCATTTTAATAGAATAATGCATTTTGATTACGAATGTAAACATGTGTGATTCATTGCAAAGCATTTGAATGATAAATTGTGCATTATTATACTACAATGCAAGAAAATGTCTATTCCCATTGTAACATGCTAACAAAAAAATAGAATTGATGAAAATATGCGGAACTACAGTGATCAGAGAAGTAATTTTCCTGGCATCATTTGGTTTATTGACATCATATGCGATATCATATGACATATGAGCCGCACCACGATAAAACCAACATAATGGGTTTGCGACCAGCATGGTCCATGATGGATCCAGACCAGCCTGCGCATCCACGCAGTCTGATCAGGATCCATGCTGTTTGCTATCAGTTTCTCTATTTGTTATAGGGTTTGTAAGCGAACAGCATAGATCCTCATATATGCATTCTGTTCTTATGCTGCACATATATTGTGTAATAATGCACTTGACTACCTTATCTGTTTATAAGGGGAAGGATGTGAAGAAAGGGGCATGTGAAGCGTGTTTGAATAAAGACTTAAGTGTATACACATAAACCTTCCAATCATTTTATAATAATATGTGTTATTAAATTTTAATGTTTGTAGTTTTTTCAACATTTCACATATAAACAAAAGCTTGCAAGTTGTATGTTCTATTTTCATAACAATGTTTTGCTATATGGGTTGGCTGTATTGCAATATATCACAGTACACATTTGAATGTATTGTTGCACCCCTAGTTATGTCACTAAAGTGTATCATTGTTGTAATGTTCCATGACAAAATTGATGTTGAAAGTTTTTTTTCCACAGCTTTGATATGGTACAAATTTTTCTATTATCCGAGACATGTAAATACAGGCAAATGAAAATTTCTATAAGATTTGTGGGAACTAATGCACCATGGCTAAGTAATTTTTGTATTGTATTATCTTCTATTTTAATATGTCACAAAAGTGATAGATTTTTGTTGAGGATTTCCTCTAAAATAGGTAAGAATATTTGTGTTGAGGAAGCTTTTTACAAACTATGAGGCTTACATAGCCAAGTGATATTTCCATATATGAGCCATGCCATGAAAACCAACATAGTGTGTTTGCGACCAGCATGGATCTAGACTAGCCTGCGCATCCGCTCAGTCTGATCAGGATCCATACTGTTCGCTTACAAACCCATTACAAGTAGAGAAACTGATAGCAAACAGTATGGATCCTGATCAGACTGCCCGGATGCGCAGGCTGGTCTGGATCCATGCTGGTCGCAAACCCATTATGTTGGTTTTGTCGTGACGCGGCTCATATGTCATTGATGACCATCAATCTTTTGTTTGATGCACAGCAATGATAAGATTTCTCCAGTATATAATGTAATTTAGTATATTCATTATAAATAATAGGCCACTATATAACAAAATTATGAACAGCCATTATCCTACTTCACTAGTGATCGAGAATTGTGGAGCATAAGTTAGCATGCTCTCTAGTAGCAAAATATGTGTTAAAACAGGAAACAACAATAAACTATATATTTTTCGAGGAAAAGTGGGTTATTTGAAGGCATGTTTAGGAGATTTCAGTCCCCGGCATTGTAAGAACCCACAAGTACCTATGAGTAACAGTGATCATCCAATAGTGTACAATTGTGTTAGAATGCATAGTTCTTGTGTCATACAGAAACTGGTATTTGCTAGAGTTAAGATCTTAAACAGCTGTTTTATACTTATACTACAGTAGATTTACAGAGGTCATGTCTGGTCAATAATTACATGTATGTTGCAAATGTATGTATTTTACATATTATTGCTTTATATTTATTATTAAATGTGTTCAATGATTTTTTTTGTATGTTTTGTATTGATTTAACTTGGTTGTAGCAATGCAAACAAATTGGCTCAATGAAAGCCATATGTCTTTCCAGCTTTTAACATGTGAATTCTTTACTCACTGACATTGAAATTCATATAATTGCCATTTTGTATTTAATCAAATGATTATAGTATTTTAATGTGAAATTTTGAAATAAATTTGTGCATTCAGTCTTGCTTCAAAATTATTTGCCTAACAAATTACCACAGAAAAGAAAACTGCAAATGTACAAAGCACTACAAGATTTTTATTGTAAAATGTTACAAATATCACATTTATAAAACAATGACATTATAAATATGTGCTTAAAACAACAACATTAAATCCACAAAAAAGGGAGTGTTAAAATACAACATTGTAAGATTTAACATAAATAAAAATAAAACTAAAATTGAAGAAAGACACTATTTATATCTGCATAATATTAAACAAAATTTTAAGGGACAACAACACTGGCCTTCAAATAACATTCTCTCAAACACAATACTGTATGAAAACAATTAAAATATATCAAAAGCTGTCGAACTCACTTTCATTTCTCTCTTTTTTTTCACATATAAAACAATTTACAACTGAAAGGGGAGCGGTGGTCTAGTGGTTACGGTGTCTGCCTTTCAACCCAGAGATCATGGGTTCGAGCCCTACTCTGGTCACGACCATGTTTCTTCATATGACACCAGTACTGGTTGGTTCCAGGAAGCAGACTCCAAAGTGATTAATATAAGTTGCAAGAACTCGTTTCGCAATCGAGCTTAAATAAATATGTTTAAACCAATTTAAAACTGACATTAAGATACTTTCTTTCAGAGACTTCATGTGTTTCATTATTTCTAGCTTGTCTGTTTCGAAGAAAAAAAAAGTCCAGCTGTTGTAATCGCTGTGTCATCATTGTCATACAATAACTTTAATGTAGCAAATTATTCAAATATTTTTATTTAAAGTTATCAACATGAAACTTGGAATACTTACTTATGACAAGGTGCAGTTAAGTGTCAAAAAACATAATTCTAAAAGCTATATTTCTGGAGCTATGCCCCTTTTTAACATAGAATGTTTGGTCAAAATAGGTTGCACTTAAAAGACGAGTGTCAAAACTGCATGTTGAACTCTGGTTAAATTCAAAAGACGTGTTTGCAAAAAGCTGATGGTTTAAATTGTGATAACACTCTGATATTCAAAAATAAAAGTATCTTTTATTGAAGTTTTTAAAACAAATTTTCAATAATTTGTATATATGATATTTGTACATGTAGTTGTATACAGTGAATATAGAAAACATCTTTTAATGGAATTAGAAAGTCCATATTTATCAGCACTTATTGCAAGTGAAGAAAACCTATAACAATATCACTCGAAATAAAATCTAGCCAGGAGGGTCTAACAATTTTTTCTATTCTATAATATCTGGTGACAATGTAATATATTAAATAATTAAGATATAAAAATCATTGAGTGAGATACTTCATTCAGTGGTGTACATTACAGATATTTAAGCAGTGTTGCATCTAGGTTGCGCTTTTTGTGCATATTTTTTGCAGCTTGCGCATTTTAATGAAGTCAATGCGTGCCAAGTCGCGCATCTGACTATCTTTTCAACTTAATTTAGTTAATCTTCATTGTATCTTGAAGGCTTCTGCCATGTTTGTTTTCACTCGAGGTAATGATTAAAATACGTATCATATTGTTAGGTAAAAGCATATTTTATTGTCCCCTACATTTTTTCAAATCCCCCACATTTTTCAGTTGAGTGGGGGACAATCCCCCATAATTTTGAAATTCTAGATGCAACACTGATTTAAGTTAGAAATAAAAAATCAATTTATTTTAATAAACAAAGAAATATTCATAATATTAAAACTATCTTCATAAAAATCTAAAATACATGTGATAGTTTTTTGCAACAGGAGCTGTCACTTGACCATTCTCAGTGCTTGATGGTGAAAAAAGGGCCTTAACTCTGTAAAAAAAGGTTACACAGAGATATGGGACCTCTGCCCTTCATGCAAGAATCCAAATTTAGATAATCAGAGAGAACAAGTGTGTGAAGTTTCAACCCATTCCTTGGAGATACCAATTTGCACACAAAAACTTTACTAAAGTGTGACGCCAATGTTGATGCTGACACCAACACTTGGATGAGTACAATAGGTCTCCCTTTCTTCAAAAAGTCAATATAAAAATGACCAGTTTACTTTTAGATTTTGTAGCTGTATTTTTTTCTTCTATATTTACCGGTTTCCCGCTAATGGTGCCTAAATTCTGCTTTAAAATTGGTACATGTATCTTCATAATAAGGAACTGAATAAAATAAGTTAAAGCTGCACACCTCAAGACAGGTAAAAAAACAAAACTTATATTCTAAATCATCAAATTAAAATGATTTCAACAGTAACCAGTGTCAGCACAAAATCAATACCTCAACAGCTGATAGTTTAAAATGCATCTCAACTGTATAGAAGATATACAAATTTAATCAAATATAAAACAAAAATAAACAGAAATAACAGCATTATATGCAAATATCACTAAAAAAAATAATCAGAGCTGTCACTAAGTCAGCACAAAATTTATTGAGAATATATCCATATTGGATGGCAACTATCAACGATACACCAATATACATGTAGTTATAAAAACTTATTACTTGTCTATAATTCACTTTCATATCTAAGAATCTGTTATAATGATTTCAGTAAAATACACATTCTGTTCATACAATTATGATGTACCTTGTTTATGAATGTTCATTGCATGATTTTTGTCCCACCACAATTTGTAATCGCTACTATGAAAAATGTCAAATATGTAATAATAGCATAGTTTTAGACATCCCCTTCTGGATACGTTTTGCATGAATTTCAGACAACTAATAAGTCAAACAAATGTATATCAATTACAGTAAACTTCACTTATAACGAACACGGTTATAGCGAACTTCCGGTTATAAGGAACAATTTATTTTGGCCCGAATTTTGCCCTTCTTTATTTAATAGAAATATATACGGTTATAGCGAACACGGTTATAAGGAATTATCGCTTATAAGGAACTATTTTCTTTGTCCCGATTTAGTTAAAAGTGCAGGAAATTACACCTTTATAACGAACTCCAAATATCAGCTATTCGTAAATATATCCCGCATTTTCAACATTCGTTTTCATTGGCACGGATTAAAACTCGCGGAATATTGTTGTATTTAATTCAATATATCTATAAAAATGAATTTGTATAGAAGTATGTAATAGTTTTCTATTTAGGATATTTTTAGCATGAGTTCTTGTCACAAAGATAAAACTGTATTTCCTTTTATTCTATTATTTCTTTTCTTTAATAGTTTTGCTCGAGTAAAATAATTATGATCATTTATAATCAGATTTCACAAACAAAATCAATAGAAAACTACAAAGTATGCTTGATTGAAAAGAAAAGAAATCTATATATTTTATAAGTAAAAGTCAACCTTAAAATATAATAGAAGATATTCAATATAAAAGGAAGAAAATATGGAAAATCTTGTTTATTTTTATTCATGGAAAGAAAACGAAAAGCACTGACTTAAGAAACAAAATATGATATTTTATCAGAAATTGAGAAAGGGAGTAGATCTAAAACTAAAATAACAAAGGATTTTTAAATTCCAAAATGTACGCTCTCAGGTATTGTGTCTAAAAAAGAAATAAATGACAAATTATTCCTAATCAAATGCTCTTCAAAATGGCGGACGATGTTTAACAATTAGTTCGTTATATGTAAATCTGTTCGCTATAAAAACTACTGATACAAGGAACTAATTCGCTATATGCTTACAAGGAACTCCGGATATAAGGAACAGATTTTGAATGTCCCAATGAGTTCGTTATAAGCGGAGTTTACTGTAATCATTCATGTTAGATCAGTTTCAGCTCTATTTAATACTAATAGTAGTACGACTTTAAACAAAAAATTAAAAAATCATAAAACAATAACTCTAAAAAAATTCATAAAGCAACAGTTATATTTCATTTACATAATTATAACAGCAATAAAATTACACAAAAATTCAAAAGTTTTAGGAAGAAAAGTTCCAAAGCAAGGAAGACTGCACTAAAAAAAACTCCTGTAAGTATTGCAACAGTTTTGTGAATATCCCACTTCAGATAAGCCAATCAAGATCTAAACTTCCATTTTGTGAATGGTAGGTTATCAATGAAAGAAGGTAAATGCACCTTTTTCATACATAATAATTACATCTGCAGAAGCACAAGACAAATTAATAATCTGAACCTGCAAGGCAAAGAAATTTAAGTAAGTTGGAGGGCTTTTACAAATGTTAATGCACATAAAATGTACATTAGCACTATTTTTGTTCTGAAGCGTATTTTTGATTTGGTTGTTCTGTGTTTTGTTACTTGGTTGTTTTTTGTGTTTTCTATGCATAAAGCAGTTTCCTCCTGCTTTTTGCCTCCGAGTGTTATGTCATTGATAATGAAATTGCCCAAAAGTTTTTGCAAGTCTTGTTGTCCCAATGTCCATTGACTCTAACCCTGAGGTTACGATTAGTAGTCTCCAACAAATACTTTCTACTTTTGTCAAACAAATACTTTCTACTTTTGTCAATGAAAATCTATTGTACATAAAATATTTTTAAAAAAAAGTAATTAAGAAAAGCAACTTCAGACTGAGTGACAAGCAAAAACATTCATTAGAGTGGATAAAAACATACAAATGTCACAAAATAGAGCACCACAAAAATAAGGTTGTTAAATATATATTATTAACAAGTTCCAAATCAAGCAGTTTTTTGGCCATTCTGTTAACCAAATGTACTGATATGATCCATAGCAACTATTCTGTTTTCAAATGCATAATATGTCCTTATATTAATATAATGAATTTAATTAAACAATTATTCCATAGGTGAGTAATGTGAGCATTACTCCACAACAAGTTCATAAATTCAAATCACTCCTCTCATTTTAAGTTGATATTAAACTTAGTCTTACATTTCCAAGGCAACAAAATTTACCGGAATTAGGTTTTACGACACAACAAGACAAAAATGCAACCATTTCTGTTTGACATTAAAACTGTAGACCTGGAATTCTCCCCAATAAATACAATGTGATATGGTCAAACACAAGCATACTGTCACAGAAGCAACATCACAAATTTGTTCACACGGGATCCCCATATTGCGGAATCGGTGCTGCTGCAATGGAATATTTAGGTGGAGACATTAAGACCGGATGTAAGGTGCATCTTGTGCCATCACTGTATTCTATACTACCGGCAACATTGCTATCATCAGATGAACGCAGTTGATTTTGTGGAAATATCACCATTTCATAGGCAGGAGGTGGGTCTTGGAATATTGGTCCGTTGAGCTGATCTTGAGATGGGGTATATATAACTGGAATAGAATATGATTATTTATTTACATAATTATTTGATTCATACTCGGACAAAACAACACTTGGGACAAAACAACAGTTGAATAATTCTAATATGACCATGACCTAAAAATTATCTTGACTCTAGATCAAATTACTGAATTTAGCTTAAATTGTGATAACGCAGTAATATATGAATTGTCTCTCAAAATTTTGGGAGACATACTGTTTTTGGCTTTCCTGTCAGCCCATGGAAACATAATTATGGGTACTTAATGGCTACAGGAACAAGAAGAAACTTCTTTTTCTTTGATGACATTCATTCTGTAAGCTCTTATATGGCTATGTTTTCTCTTATAGGGCTAAAAGAACAATAGGAAAAACAATAATGTAACCACATAAGTATCCAAATGTTAGTGCGGACAAACTTCTGTCGTCAGCATTTATTTTTTCCAGCTTTCACAAGTCAAACTGTTAGCGGGATTTCGATTTTGATTGCTGAGGCCCTCGGGGCTATTTTTCATGTTGCAGACTGATTATTACCGTCCGTCCCTACTCTGCCATGTATTAATCTCTTATTACTAGTAATTAACTATTTCTTAGTAAGTGATTGACTACTAATCTCACATGATTCCTGAAACAGCTGTTGGAGACAAATGACCATTGGACTCTTGAAATATCCCTAGATCAATCATCATTACAATATACGCCTCATACGAAAATGGAACATTTAGTGAAACCCTAGATTACTAATTCCATGCTCTCCCTATTCAGCTAAGGAAGCAGACTTGAATTCTTAGTCAATATGTCATTTAGAATAATAAAACAAAAGAATTAAGCATACTAACTTGAACAAGCATATGGACAAGAATTAGGTGGATGATGCCTATTCAGCTGATCTTCACCAGTTCTCATTTTCCTCGACAGTAACATCTTACCAAGGATTCCGGTACCAACCAGTATAATCAAACCACAGACTGAAACATATAATTAATTAACAATGATTGTCACTGCTTATCAGTAGATGGTGAAATTATAGTTTGATAATTTAACTGTGTTATTATGAAATATATATTTTTACAGTAGCTTGACTATATTTGAATGGAGATGAAAATGATGTACGATAAGTATAGGGAAATATTGTAGGGAATATATTCTTAACACGTTTAAAATGTAACACAATTCATGAATTTTACAGAACTATTTTCAACAAGAACCATGCAACATCATAATTTGACAAGTCATGAATGACAGCATGTTGTTAAGCAGAAGAAATGAACTGAAAATAAATCAAAAGCAGGAAATAAGTACAAAATATGTTTCTTTCGTAAATTAAATTAAAACATTTTTCACTCGTGAACATGGGTTCAGATCAATGTGTCGAAATTACTTCCTTACTTCAACTTACATTCAATAAGACCTTGAATATTATAACCCTATTTGACCTTTAACATCAAAGTGTGACCTTAACTGTATTTGACCCAAATAATATGTCCTTGAAGCTACTGATAAGAACTGTTGTAGAGAAAGATATATATTCGAATTCACAATTGTTTCTCCTAATGGAATTCATAACTTGTAATATATATCAAATATATTGTACCATACTATAAACAATCAATGAATATTGCATAATAAAATTAAACAGTCACATGTATCTAAATGATTAATTTGGTTTCATTTAAATTCTTTGTACCAATTAATATAAGCCAGAGCTTACCCATTCCCAACACACACAACATCACTGTTATAGATGTATCTCCTTTCACAGCATTCCCAATGAACACACTGCCAAGTATCAACAAAATCACACCAAGACTAGCTGCACAAACAAACCCAATCAACATCTGTCTCCATAGACGTCGCCCTCCCGGAACATTCATTTTCCCCTCATTTCTAAGTCTCTGAGCATGCTCTCTGCATGATTGAGAGTGAGCTCTTTCGGACAAGTTTGGTGAAGCCATTTCAAGTATTTTACTTTAACTTCTCTATTGGTTATTTATTTGTCCTACACATTGTGATTACCTCCTGAAATATAGAAAATATACATTCTAAAAGAAATGGAAACAATTCTGAATAGAAGAATATAATAGAAAATTATGAGATAGAGGACAGCCATGACCAATCACTTCAATGGGGGGGGGGGGGGGGGTGAAATTTTGCACTTGTGAACAGACTCGATCAAACAGTCTTCAATTTTCCTATAAGTTTATGTTGTATTCAATGCTTCCAATGGATCAGACCTTTTGGATTTTTCTTAACTGTTCATTCCAGAACAACTGCATTTTTTTTAATTTTTAAAATTTTTACCATGTACATATAAGTAAAACACATTATCGCTGGGGAGGGGGCCAATTTTGACTCCAGGGCTATAATTTGAACTATCTTAGTAGAGGTCCACAGACAATGCCTTGTGTAAAATATCTATGCTCTAGAGGCATTTTGATTCTAGAGATGAAAGTTGTTGGGGTTTTATTATTATTTTTTTTCAATTTCTATTATCCCTTTTGGTTGCCATAGCAAACAGATTTCTGCATGGAATCAAATTCTTTAAACAACTTTTGAAGCCCTTCACCCAAGGAGCAACCTATAGCTGAATCGCTATATGCGTAAAAATATATGTCCCCCATCCCATAAATAGTAGCCAATTAATACTAAATAGCCATGCAACATTATGCTCAAATATGAAACAGTGGTTGGGTCAGTCTCTAAAACACACCAAATATTTGTAATCACTTGACTATTTAACAAGTATGTCATAAGTCCTTGCTTGCCAAAATTTAAGTGTTTAAATTCAATGTAGCCACTTTTCTCCCATTGGTAATATTTTTGGTTTACATAGATTTTTTTTAATTTCAAGTTAAATTATTAGTTTTCCTTAGGTACATAATTTTGGCATTGTATATACAGAATTAATCATTGATTTTACCTTCGTAAAGTTTACCAATAAAATACAGTTGACTCTCGATAACTCGAAATCCAAGGGACTGGGCATTTTACTTCGAGAGAAACGGAATTCGAGTAACGTGGATCTGCCGCCATTACGTTGACATTCGTACATGTATATACATGTACCTGATTGAATGTGCAAAGAAGTAGGTTTGTTATTGTTGATAGCGGCAATGCTGCACTATTTAACCGTTGAAATGACTGTAAATCAATTAAATATACAAATTATAAATGAACAAAAATATATTATTCAAAATTTGATACATGGAAATTAATAGTGAAATATAAACACAAGCATTCGTGGCAATGACATAAATGCAAGTTTGTCAGTATTCATCAGTAATGCACATGCTTTTAATACGCATTCATGATAATTCATTACAATAAAAGCACAATAACATATCTATAATATATCTAACAACAATTAATCTAATGTATGAAGTAAATTGATCATCGGACGAAAACGAAAGTAGCATCTATCGTGAACCGGAAGTACATATTAATGTATGCAATATGACGGAAAATTAATTATAAAAATGTCAATTACGTTGAAAACACACATCAATACCTAGGCTGGTACAATAAAATTAATTAAATCTTAATTTACTTAACTAACTGTTAAAACCAATTAAGTCCTGAAACCGATTAAAGCCACTTTCACGACGTGCTAATTATACATGATGACCGGCAATTAAAATTACTATGAAACGTGTGAATCACGAGTGACAACATCTCAACTTGATGTCGCCGACCTTTGATCAGTCGGCTGTTTTCACACTTCGACTAATTGAGATGAAAATATGTTGGACTTTAATTGACGGGACCAAATTTTCTTTTCGACTAAACAGGGGTCTCGGTAAGTCAAAATTTGACCTAAGAGGAGTTAAAATACAAAGATAAAGTAGGAAATTTGACGGGACTTTAGAAATTCTTCGACTAACGCGGAATTTTGAGTAAAGCGATTTTGACTTATTGAGAGTCAACTGTAGTTGTTTTGATGCAGATGTATAAAATGTTAATATCTACAACTAGTCTAAAATTGGCTGGTATAATAATTTTCATCCTATCTCATCACCTCAATATGTGCATGCCTTTGAGAGGCCTGGGATATCAGCAGAAGACTTGAAGAGGTTAGTGTTGTAATAAGACTCTATTTGTAACCTTGTATTATACACATAGAGGTCAAGCTAAAGATTTCACATACGGCAAGACAGAACTAAGGCTGTCTCATATTCAGCAAACCAGCTACCAAACCTACTGCCTGAGCCACTAGTATGCAGTGACTTTATCAGGGCTAGCTTCTTTATTAAGGATACAGGTTTAATTAACTTTACATTTAGGTGCTCATTGATTGTCTCAGTGACTTACTTTCAGCTTAAAATTTATCTCTAATACTCTGGAAAATTGCATAGTGGTAAACTGTCCCCACTTTTTGCTTCATAACTTACACTTTCAGAATTTGATTAGAGCAAGTCCTGGGTTTGTACTCAATAGGGAAGCTACTTTTAGTGCTTCAACATGTGTTTGGACCCCCTTTAAGCATAGACTACAAAACACTCCATGCATATGTGATCGTTTCGATTCCGTGTAATGCACTGGTTCTCATGCGGCGGCACGAAATACCCAAATCTACCCAAATGCACCCAAATATAGCAATATTTATTTTTGTTTGTATAAAACATAGATTATAATGAGAAATAAATAAATATTTATTAAAAATAATATGATATAATATGACTTAGCCTGCTATAATTTTCATTCATTCCGTTGAAATGGACAGTTACGATGTTGTAAGAAAATAACGTTGTGACATTTGCTTATCTTAGTACTACCTGGGACATACTTATCTTATGTCCCAGGTACTACATATAGGTTCTTTATGAATGTACTTGCAATTTTAAATCAAGATATGATATTTGTTGTCTACACTTACATTTTTAAGGTGTAATTTTGTTGAAATTTCATATCATATACAAGTGTCCATGTTATTTAAAAAAAAAAGCTTTAATGGTGTACATATAGACTGTATTTTGGTTCAAAACACAATGATAGGGAAATGTATATTTGGGTATGGTTGATTATATCTTAGTGAAAATGTATATTGTATTCATGATAAAAACAGCACTTTTTTAGGATAAAACATTTATTTTTAGTATAATTGGGCAATATTTGGGTATATTTAGGCAATATTTGAGTATATTTAGGCAATATTTGGGTATATTTGGGTGTATTTGGGTATATTTGGGTATTTCGTGCTGCCCTTCTCATGCAAGTTTATTAACTGATTAATGGAAACTTTTACTGATCACGACCTTATACCCCAATGCAAGATTAAATAGAAGAAAAGTCTTTACTGTGGCTTTGACAAATCATTTTAAGGACTCAGACTAAATATCAATAATGATTCTACTCGCATGCAACTAAATTTAGAAAATTTGGCAAAAATTCGGATAATAAGCACTATCCGATTACTACCCCAATGTTACGTAAAAGTAACCTTAATTCGCAAAATTGGATATTTATAAATCAATGCTTACTTTAATCTCGTACAGTTCAAGATTATTTTCACTACAAATACATCAAGTTACCTCTAATTTATATCAGTCATGAGTAATCAACCACTAGAAAACCTACTAATTAATCGATGTTGACATTTTGGCGGGGTCAATTGGACTGGTTCTCTACAGGGTATGACTAAAATGCATAACGGAGATTTATTTGGCGCAAGGGACAATATTTTTTTAGCAAAACATGCACAACGTTTGTTCATTTGTGAAAAAAAATATCATTTAAGTAATAAAAAAGATTAATTGCGTGAAAAAAGTAAGTTTGTTTAAAATTCATCACAAATAGTTGCAATTGGATGTTCTCAACAAATGGCCGTGAAATGGACATTTTCTTACCGCAATGTATATAATTTTTCTATAAATGGAACAATGTATATGCTTACAAATACAATTTTAAATCTAAAATTAATTAAAGATATTAAATGTTGTACCATCATAAAAATTTGTTCTAAAATCCAATTAGAAAATTTTGAGCTTTAAATAATGTTTTGATAGATACATGACTTGGAAATGGACATATTCTCAGCGCAACTGAAATATTTCTGTACACAATGAATGTTTATAAATTACAATTATCAAACTAAAATTTATTATATATATTGAACATAGCATCATAATGAAAGTTTGTTTTTAAATTTAATAATGTTTTGAAGGATAATATATGCCGGCGAAATACTAGCTAGTGGACATATTCTTTGCGCAGATGAGTTTGTTTCAATTCTAATATATTTTTTAATGTTTTCAAGGATAATATATGTAGATAAGGTCAATTTACTGCCTATCTATTTACTCATCCTACATTTACAAACACAGTTGTAATCACTGTAGTGAATAACTAACTGTACATTTTCATTCATCCAGGCATAATCACATGACATCATTTTCATTCATCATTATAAGGATTATGGGTAATGTCTTGTTCTTGTTGTGAGTTACTTTGCTCAGTGAACTGTCTCTTGTTATGTTCTTGTTATGTCCTGTGTTGTTAAGTGATGTCCAATAAATATCTTGTATATTTGTTAAGTAAGAATGTGATTGGATGAGAGTGATTTCATATCATTTTATGCATGGGCAATCTACATTCCTTTTCTAAGAAAAGATTGTCAAACTTTGCATTGTAGAGTTAACTGCAGAACATTTTGAATATAATATTTGTATAAGTCAACTTTACGTTTGTTCTTTATAGAACGGATTTGATATATTATTTTATATAATAGAGGTCAGCCAGTTGCACCTGGTTTTCATATTCACATCATCAAAATAAATATTGAACACCCAGTCAGAGTTGGTCATGAATTTCACCCAAACCATACTCTACATATATACCAGCGTAATAGGCATATTCTGGGCGCAACGGAGAAATTTGGCGCAAAAGGACAGTTGCTGTTGTTGTGTGTGTGTGCGTGCGTGCGTATGTGCTCCGGCGATATCAGTGTAAACTTAATCAACGCAAAGTGATGTTTCACCTACATTGTAAGGTAGACCGCGGAACCTTTCCTCCTAGAGTCATATCAGTTTTAGGAGCCTAAGATTTAAGAAATTAGATTTTGTTTAGGTTTAAGAACGCATCAGGATAAGTTTCGGGTTATGGTTAGGGTTAGAGTTAAAAGTCAGTTGAACAAAGAACAAAATATACCTCACAGTGTTAGAAAACAAGTTTGTATGCGTGTTGCTTTTGTTGTTGTTGTTGTTGCTGTTGTATAAAGGACACAATGTATGATTATAAATCACAATTATTAAACTGAAATTAAATATAGTTATCAAAAGTAGTATCATTATAAAATTTTGTCTTAAAGTTCAATAAGTAATTTTCCGATTTTTATGTTTCTAAAGGCTTATGCCAGGGAAATGGACATATTCTCAGCACAACGGAAAATATTTTGTGTAAATAACACAATGTATATTGAAAATTACAATAATCAAACACACTTGCATTACATATATTGATTATAGTATCATTATAAAAGTTTGTTTTAAAATTCAATTAGAAAATGTAGCGGCGCTTTGTCACACTGTCGTCTTGTCGTCCTGTCGCTAGCGAAACCCGTCAAATAGCCAATCCCTCGAGCGTCAATGTGACGCCGCACGACAACGCGCCGTTTGGCGTGCATCGTTAGCGACAGGACGACAAGACGAAAGTCCAACAATGCCCCGTTTGGCGCTTTGTCGTGCTGTCGGTAGCGACAACACGACACACAAAATTGTTCCAAATCAGCAATCATAGAATGGTGGCTAATTTGGTACACAATAGCGACAACACAACCAATATCGCTATCGTCTTTCGCATTGACGTCATGTCGCTAGTGAAGCACGCCACGTCGTGCGGCTCGTTGTCGCCATGTCGCTTTTCTTAAATAATATTATACAAATAGCCAATCCTTCGATCTGAACCGAGCGACAATGTGACATCGCGGCAGCACGCCGCGCGACAACGCACCGTTTGGTGTGCTTCGTTAGCGACGGGACGACATGAGCACAGTGCGACAAAGTTTGACGCTTTATAATGCTGTCGACAGCGACAACACGACTCACAAATGTGTTCCAAGGGTTGGCAGAGGTTTAATAACAAAATACAGACAGATAATATTAGCCATATTCAACACTCCATTCAATGAGTACAAGAATTCGTAAGAGAGTTACCAACGTCCCCCGCCTTAGGGAAGATTATATGAAGCATAAAAATGTGCTATTTCAAAAGATTGAGGTATAGATCAGGACTTTTAGTCCAAAAGTTTGATCAATGATAGATCTGCAAATGCAACAATATATTTATTTAATAATAAAATAAAATAACTCCTAAGTGCCGTATGTGTCAATAAAAAGAATACACGTATAATGCAGATAATGCTTAGTACTGCGACATCAAAATTAAGCATGCTCGAAGAGGTTGGCTATGCAACATTGCAGTAAGCTACAAAATATTTCCACCAAATATTCTTTTATCTTTTTGAATAAACTGATATAACACAGGATCAAAACTAACTGCATTGTTGACAGAAACAACCACAAGTAAATAATGCACACATTATTAACCAGGTTTTCAACGAAAACCGGGTTATTGTAATGCCGGAGTCGGCCGGCGGGCGTCAACTTTTGGTTTCTGCTCAATAACTTTATGTTGCTTTGGCCCATTTACACCAAACTTGGTGTTTAGGTAGCATATATCAAGAGGCAGCTTGGTATTGCTACCCAGGTGTCTTTGATCAAGGTCAATGTCACTGTTACTAAAAAATAGAAATTCAGTTTCCGCTCAATAACTTGAGTTTGCTTTGACTTATTGACACCAAACTTGGTGTATAGATAGCTTATGTCAAGAGGCAGCTTGGGATTGCTACCCAGGTGTCTGTGATTAAGGTCAGGGTCACTGTTACTAACAATAGAAATTCAGTTTCCGCTCAATGACTTGAATTTGCTTTGGCCTATTGACACCAAACTTTGTGTATAGAAATCTTATATCAAGAGGCAGCTCAGCTCGAAAACTGGATAGTTATCATTCTTGTTTGCGGTATTTTACTTTACTGTGATATATCCTCCAGTGAAGTTTCAAATAGATTGCATTAATTATCTTATCCTTTCTGACATATTGTCCAAAAATGAACGCAAAAACTGAACAAAAGACAATTACTTCAAAGAGCTATTATTCTTGTGTTTTTTTGAGCATTCCTCCTCAATGAGATATATAGAACATATTTGTTCCAGCTATGCCGTGCCAAGATGTCCGGCCATGTGCTTCATTACGTTGCAATGTGGTTTATACCTTATCCAATACCGTTCGCAAGCACAAATAATTTCTGCAAAACAAAACAAAAATATTATATTTTCTAAATGTATAATCAATTTGTTTCTTATTTTAACGACTCGATTAAACGCGGAATTGTTTCAACAGAACCTATTTTTGTTCTTATTCTTAGGCCGATAACTGATCCTCTAAGAAGACATATTTATGACCTTGTTATGGTATAGTATGTCATAAATATTAGTATCGTATTTTAAAAATGCTGTTTCATTTCATTCTAACTGATTATATGAATATATGAACTTGAATATAAAGATACATTAAAAGAAAAAGTAATATCTTAATACAGCAATGTGTTTTCAAAATCTGTATATATTTAGGTCCGAGTGGGAGCATCTCTGAAATCGAGTCCGAGTGGGAGCATTTTCCATTTTTATCAAAAGAATTAAGAAAAACTGACTTTTAAATAGAAATATTTGAAAACAATCTAGAAAAATGTGTAAACATGACTCGGTTTATGTTCCGGTACGCAAAAAATAATTTTCAAGAAGGTTTTCATCCTTATTACAATTATCTTCCATAAAAAAATAAGGGCTCTTATTATTGAAACAATATTTCAAGTTCTTTGCTCACTTATGATTGCTTTCACAACTTTTCATTGAAATACTAATCATAATGCCTAAGGGTGATCCGAATGTTGATAATAAAGAAGAATACCAACACATTATAAATGTGCTGATTGGACTCTTGTTAATTCCCGGTGATTAGTTAACACCTTATTGACAGGTGAAATTACGTGTGAAACAACTTGACCGTGATGACAGTGTGTGCTAACATATACGGTAATCATAATATAACACATTTGAAATGCATTTGCTTTCATTGATATCATCGTGAACATTGCCATATATTGGACCAGCAGTCAAGTAAGAATTACTTTTATTCAATTAACTTGTTTTGTAAAGATCACAGGCTGCAAATACATGTACGTAGTTTAAAGCATTTTTTTTATAATTCATAAAAGATATATTTATGTACATAAAATGAACTGTGATATAGTTTTAGTCAGTCTTGATTGCACGGGAGTATACTGAAGATGTAGATACTCAAGGATAACTTGTATCACATGTCCTTCCGGCCATCCCTAACTGAATAGTCACATTCAACGTGAGGCAGTCAAAGTTTAAGCACTCTAAAGTTATCTTTTAACGTTTCAGAATTTTAGAAGAAAACTGAATAATTCACTACTATAATACAGTACCGCGGATAAAAACAGACATGCCATATGAAATTATTCAAAGTTATATACAAAAAGTTATATGTAAAATTTTGAATATAATATGATTTAAAAGTTCAACGCATACCTTTTTAACTAATTGCTAGCAATACACTAAACGAGCAATTTTAATTTGTAGCTTGTCAGAGAAATGGCATCTAACAGCACGCACAGTCGGACAGATGCACTTGGATATGAAGCTGTATTTGTCGACGAACCAGAGCGAAAATATATGTGTCCAGTTTGTCTAGTTGTGATGAAAGATGCAGTGCAAACATCGTGTGGACATAGGTTCTGTGAAATATGTATTAAGAAAGTTGCCAAGTAAGTAACGCTGGCTGAACATTTTCAATCTAATGCTTAATTAACTTTGTACAGGATTTTGTGAAAACACCACCAAATTTAGAAAGTGGACAAATGCCCTCTTATTTCGCACTAAGGTATATCTTTTCTGATATTGAAATATTTTAAAGTTTGAATCGACCAATCACTCCTTTTTTACCGACTTAGTAACGCGTAACCACGGCATAGTATCTCGTGTGCACTACTTAGTAACTCGTTGTCACGACATTGTATCTCGTGCGCACGATAAATAAAAACACTCACATGCCACCTTATATGTCTAGTTATAAGGACTGTTTCATTTTCAGACGATCTGGAATATGCAAATGTCCCGTGGATAACACCTGGTTTGACACGCAATTTGAGGTAAATATGTCTATATTAATTTTAACGCCTATATTTTAAATAATTTTTAAAAGCACATTATGAAAATAATTTACATTTATTAACTGCCCTTTTTCTTCATCGCAAATTTACGATTGTTTCAACTTCTGTCATTATGACATCATGCTACAATTTTATCATGTTTCTTTTCATTTTCATAATTCACTCTGCATGAACCATAAATAACTCACGTGCCTAAGAAAATTTTTGTAAATGCCAATCGAAATTTACCTGTAACATTTAATTTATAAAAAAGAATAGGGCAGTCTTTTTATATTTTAGGCAAATTTATATTCATTCTTAACATTTTCCAATATCAACTGTTGGTAATAGTCAATCTTTTGAAATATAGTGACAATTCACGAAAATATGTGCATAATTTCACTTTAACACTTAAATTTATATTTCCAGATGTTTCCCGACGTAGCCATTCGCAGAGAAATACTTTCTCTAAAAGTGAAATGTGATCAACATCATAAAGGCTGCAACTGGACGGGTGAATTGAGATGTCTTGATGTACGTATAATTTATCATTGTACTGGAATAACTACTATCGGTATATAGAGAGAGTGGTGGGCATGTGGATATACTTATGATAAAGAAAAAATGTTTACTTCGCGGCACGGCCGAGTTTATAACGCATCGGAGTAGAAATGGTGGCTGATTTGGTATGTTTTGTGCGCCTAGTTGGCGCTAGCGACAACACGACAAAGCGCCAAACGGCGCGTTGTCGCACTGTCGTCTTGTCATCCTGTCGCTAGCGACAACGCGTCAAAGCGCCAAACGGCGCACTGTCGTCTTGTAGTCCTGTCTCTAGCGCAGCACACCAAACGGTGCGTTTCCGTGCGTCGCGATGTCGCCCTGTCGCTTGGCTTATATGCCAATCATTCAGTTTGAACCGAGCGACAATGTGACATCGCGACAACACGCCGCACGACAACGCGCCGTTTGGCGTGCCGCGCTAGAGACGGAACCACAAGACGACAGCGCGACAACGCATCGTTTGGCGCATTTTCGTGTTGTAGCTAGCGCCAACGAGACGCACAAAACATACCAAATCAGCCACCAAAAAGTAGTAATATAATGATCACTAGCCGCATGGGTTCAAACTTTGTCAGAGGCATGTCATTGTTTCCTTGAGCAAAGAACTTTTCACTCATTGCTCAGTAAAGTGTGTCTATAAGCTTATAGCGTCCTCCACAATCGAACTTACATTGCAATTTTATCTTCAACCTATCAATGACAGATAATACATTGAAATTTAGCTTTTTGCGAAAGTTCATTTTGTTTTTATTTTCAGCTTCATGTAACTATCTGCGATTATATAGAAGTCACCTGCGAGTATGGCTGCCCCGAGGGCCAGATACGTAGAAAGGATCTGACCCACCACCTCGAGACTTGTGACCTCCGACCTGTGTGCTGCGAACACTGTAACTCTTCTACAAGTTCGGTCTATCTAACAGTAAGTTTAAATGCCATTGTAACTGTTTTTAATGAGATAACAAAAAACTTGAAGTAAGTCTGTTAAGATTTTTACATTCTCAACTTCACACGTCCAAGATAACTTTGTCAGTTTTATTATACAGTTGGCTAATTCAATGGTTTTACTATTAAAACTAATATATTAAAGTGAACACACTTTTGTTAAACTTTTTTTATAAATATTTTCAGAAACATCAACTATTGGACTGCCGAAAATTTCCAGTAACTTGTTCATTGTGTGGGAAGAGCCGAATTAATCGGGAGGACATCTCGGGTCACTTGAACGAGAAAACGGGAGACTGTCCCCGAGTCATTATACCTTGCCCATACCAGAAATATGGATGCCAGTTTGCTGTAAGTATATTTCCAAGCAATCCCATCACCAAAACGTACACACGTTTCCTACGATAATTATATATACAATTATTATTTTCCATGTGAATATGGAGTTGATTATTCCATGCACTGTCATGAATCATTAACTATCAAATGTAGTAAATGCGGCGGCTGCAACATGATTAACAGCCCAACTTGATTTGTATCCAATATTTCGTTTAAAGCTCGTCTATACGAAGTATATGGAGAGCGTCCTATTCACCCTGGCGTCTGTGTTCGCGTCTGCGTCCAGATGTCTGATTCAAGTTTTTGTTCACTAAAATATTTGTTTGCTTTTGTTTGCATTTCCAGAATAATTCTGCCCTTCAACTAAGACTTATCTAAAAAGATTTAACTATTATTTTACTCTAACTCCTTTATTTCTTTTACTTCTTTTAACTTCGAGGTGGCGTTTAAAAATTAAACTAGGTGTAAAAAACAATATTTCCAAAATTATCTCCCCCACCTCCTTGAACTTAGAACTTTCCTTTTCTTCTTTGGCTTTTTTATTTCTTCAGGAGTTTACTTCAAACTTCAAATATATGTTCCTTACCATGCAACACCTACACCATATATGATCAGCATCTATATATCCATAATAATATACATGTATCTCCATTTTAACTTGGAATTGATTTGCAAATTGTTATTTATCATTTTAACTTTTCTGTTTTTTCAATAACTTGTATTACTGTAGACTTTAGTCGAGCGCATTGTAGCCTCTGAGAGCTCTTGTTAGTAGGTGGATTTTTTTCAACCGTTTTACTTGTTTCGAATGTTTAATTTCTGCAAGGGAAGTACATGTAGTTGCATATCCACAAAAACTGTGTCTGTAACATCACTGTGATAATGAACAAATTGTTATTTTCTAAGGATTTAACTCATTACAGGACTGGAGAAGTACCTCTAGACGCTTGCAGAAATCATGATCACAAAATAGAGTGATATCAATTTTACATTTTTTATAATCATATATAAATCGGTGTTAAAAGATGAATTGGATCTTTTAAAGTTAATGCCATTGGATAGAAAGGCAATATTTTAGCATTCAATCATTCAAGCGCCTTGTCCGGTATATACCGTACGGTATTTAGGCCGTGCTCCAATCTTTTTTTTTAAAGTCTCACTCATTTTCTAAATCAACAGGGACGTAGGGAGGTTATGTCAAGCCATGGAAAAGAGGCTGCACATGTTCACATGACTTTCATGGAGCAGAAGATTGAATCTCAAGACAAACGTATTTGTAGTTTGGACAACACAGTAAAAGAATTGACTAAGTATGTACTTTAATTTATAGGTACTTCACCGTACACATCTTATCCATATCCATAATTTTATTCTTAAAAGTAAGTTGGATTTAGATGTTCAAAATATAAAGTGAATGTTAGACGTCAATGTCGGTATCATTCAATGCTTTAAACTTGTCGCAAAAATCTGTTGATACAAAAATCTGTTTATACGGACACGTCATTTGATATAAACAACTAACTTTTAAAAGTTTGATCTTTATGAGAAACTTTTCGTCAGCCGCATTTTGCCTAACATTGATATGAATTTACTATGTTATTGAATTCAATGTTGTTCATGTATTTACAGAACACTGGCAGAATTTGATTCAGTGATGGAAAAATTGAAAGAATCCCAAATGATGAGCTACAACGGTAAACAGTCGTGGAAAGTGGAGATACTGCCCGGACAAAACAAGTACCGAAGTCGTTCCTTCTACACCGGTTGCCCTGGTTACAAGCTTCATGTTTCCCTCGAGCTCAATGGACACACAGAAGCCGGTCATAGTTATGCCTCTTTATTTGTTATTCACGAGAAAGGTCAATTTGACGAGGAACTATTTTTTCCATTTTCGGCGTCGTGCGGAGTAACATTGGTTTCAACTCTCCGGACGAGAATTTACGAAACAGAAGTCACATGCACTTCCGTGCCAAAGTGCAGAACAGACGCTGAGCAGTTTCAATGCCAGCGAGGTCGTCTGCGGTTTATCAGAATGGACCAATTACTCAGTGACACATTCTGTGTAGATAATTGTCTCTATATGGAATTCAAAGCACAGGTCTTCCAGCACGGCTCATTCATTAAGTGGGGTTCGAACATGCAAACTTGAACCTGGAAGATCAAAATGATTCAGCACTTATTAATTTATTTACTTTGTTTCCTTTTTCAGTTGATCTCATATGTGTATAGTGCAATGATAAGTTGTAGGTGAAATCTCTGGTAAAATATGCTGTTTAATGTAGAGATCAAAGTATGTTTTCAAATCAATTACGCATTCAATCGGATGAATATTTATGCATAAAAAATAATTATCTTTATTATATAATTATAAATGAAATATTGAGAAATATTGATGAAACAAACGGCGTATTTTCATTTTCCGTATTTTCACTGTAAAATTTTTATTTTTCACTGCAATGACATATTTTCCGCATTTTTACAGGTAATTTGCCGGACTACTTTCTTCTTAATTCAGCCAATACACAAAATTATAGAAGTCTTAAGAATTGTAAGGTCAAAAAAGAAAAAAAAAATAATAAACAGAAAATTCAAGTTCTTTTCTATAAATGCAGGAATTATTTTAATCTTGTGATATGCAAATGACCATATTTCGCCACTCGTGAAAAATTTATTCTCACACCACTGGATGAAAATACTGTATTTATTGGGGAAAAAACTGGAATATCCTCTATTTATTTATAAATTGACAGAAAAATAACATAGAAAGAACGCACAGCAAAAGCGCTGTGTAAATGATATACCTGTGATGTGTTTCCTCACTATATTTTATGTGCATAAGAAATACCCACTGTATCCAATGTCTTATTGTACGATTGTGTTATTTACCAGGTATTTTTTATACATACATGTAGTTTTAAAAGATATAACTGAGCCGCGTCACGACAAAACCAACATAGTGCGTTTGCGATCAGCATGGATCCAGACCAGCCTGCGCGTCCGCGCAGTCTGATCAGCATCCATGCTGTTCGCTTACAAACCCTATAAAGAAGTAGAGAAACTGATAGCGAACAGCATGGATCCTGATCAGACTGCGCAGGCTGGTCTGGATCCATGCTTGTCGCAAACGCATTACGTTGGTTTTGTCGTGACGCGGCTCAAATTTGTGTTACTACTCCTCATTAACCCCCGTTACATTTGATTTGTCTATAGTGTAAATATTGTCTGGATAATCGATAGATTTTCACATTTATAATACCGTTTCGTCTTTCGTTATTTTTCTTTTCATTTGACAAAATATTTAATTGGACAGTTATTTTATAAGTATGTACTTTAGCAACTGATTGTGACTATATTGCAAAAGGAAACAACGACAGGAGCAGCAGTAACAACAGCAGCAGTAGCAATCAAGCACTGTGTTATATTAACTGTAATAATCAAATCGAATAAAATTTCGATCAGCCGAAATCTTTCAAGAAAATTAAATTTTGAAAAGAATGTACTAAGATTTTACGAAAAGTAAAAGAATTTAAGTAATAATTAACATATATGAGTGATTAATGACTGATTTTGTCAACTTATTACCATAGTTCTACTGCGTTACTAACACATTAAGGGCTATTTCTGCATATTTTAGTCTCTTTTTGGTAATTTACATGGATTGTTAGTGCCGTTTTCCAATGTGTAAATTATTTTTTTTTGTTCACGTCTGTAATACATTTTCGAAATTTTCATGAAAATTAACATTAAATTGGAGACATGCTGCTTTAAGTTGTTGTTATAATTTATAACAACAGTAATGATTTATTATCGTAACACTATTGATAGAAATAAGATAAACATTGACCTCTCGTTTTTCTTTGAAACTTACATATTGGAAAACGAGGACGACAACAAAAACAACATAATATATGCTTACATGAAACAAACAGAAGAAAATCCAAATAAACAAATATTGATAACTAAATCTGTGTAAATATGTGTGCGTGCGTCTGTGTTGAAAATAAGTGGAAGTATATAAGTAGTGTAGATGATGAATTAAACATAATGTGCATGTGTTATAATTATATGAAATAAATAGAAACAAATTACATTGTGTTTTGTCGTTTTTCTACTTAATGCTTTGTTGTATGTTTGCATCGAAAACTGTTTAGGACATCCATTGCAGAGATATATAGGTCGCTTTCATTGAAACACTTGCCATAAATATTCTATGTGTTAAAATATGTCTTTTACTCATTCTATATTAGCTCAAAGGATTTTTTAACTCGAATTTTATATTTATATAATAAGAGGGCTATGCTACTCACCACCCGGGCGAAGGCGTCAGCGTCACACAATTTGAGCCAACCGCACTATTATGTTTTAACTTCTGCGATATTGCTTTGTAACTAGTGACCATCATCTTAACATCAAGGCAAGGGTCATAACTCTGTCATGGATCAAATTTTTACACTTTTTTCAACATAGAATTACGTTAAAGTTTTTCGTGCAACCACACTTATTTAAAATACCATTAAAAGGCATTGCTTTGAAACTTTAAATACTTGTAAGTGAACATCATAACGGCTTTTCCAGGCTAGAGGACATAACTCTGTAAGGGCTTTTGACAAAATTATGCCATTTTTCGACATAGAATTTCGATTAAGTTGTTTGCAACACCCCGCTTATTTCCTAAATCCTTTCTAAGTATTGCTTTGAAACTTTAAATACCATTTAGTGACCATCAATTTCACTTCTAAAGAAGAGGAAATAAGTCTGTCATTGATTTTAACAAAATTATGCCCCTTTTCCGACCCAAATATTTTGGTTAATTACCACCCCACTTATTTCCTATATCATTTGAGGTATTGAGGTATTTACATATTTGTAAGTGACTATCTCCTTCACTTCCAGACAAGGAGACATAACTCTGTCATATATTTTTTGACAGAATTATGTCCATTTTTCGACTTAAAGTTTCGATTAAGATTTTGTAACAACCCATTAATCAATTTCCTATACCCTTTGAAGTATCGCTTTAAAAACTTTAAATACTTGTTAGTGACTGTCTTTAACTCTATCAGGCAATAGGATATCACTCTGTCATACATTGTGACCAAATAATTCCCCGACCAAGAAGTTTGATTAATTTTTTCGTACCACCCTATTTATTTCCTATACCTTTTGAGGTATTGCTTAAAATTTTACATACTTGTTAGTGACCATTATCCCCACTTAAAGGCAAGTATTATACTTAAGCATAGTGTCTCACGGTCATTCTTTCTTGGTGCTGTTTAATCTTAACAGTCACGTCTACACTGTTTTCAAACCAGTATTTTGAAAGTTTCCCCTGTAAACGGTAAATGGTTTTATCCAGATTCAATGATGAACAAGTCCATTTAAGATATTTAGTGTGGTAAGCATTATATTTGCATGCTTTAAATGAACATCACAATATCATCTTCTTTTTCAAAACATACATTGAAACTGAAATAATTTATTTAGATAATTTTTTGATAGTTATGTAAATAGCTAAACAAGATAAACTTGATATATCCTTCTATCAGATATGAATTAAAATGTTAAAAGGCTCTTTCATAATGCCTTTGATGCATTTTGTATTGTCTATAATGGTGTAATATCAGGAGTTAGTGTTTGAAACTGTCAGAATTAATTGACATTTTGTTAATTACTTATATTATGACAATATTTCTTGAAACTATCGCATAAGCTTAAATATGTGCTGTATGAAAGTCTTGATAAGGACATGTTATTTTAGATTAAAATTATTTAAATACTAGCATCGCAGAGGTTTTGACGGTACATATCGCATTGAGATAAAAATAATCTTGTGCCTCATCGACTTGTTGTAAAATGCTTAACGAATGTTTCCTCAATAGACATGATACAATATATATAAAAAAAGAAATATTTATGCAACTGGCCTGAAAAAATCGACTGTTTGATAGGGAGCATAATTGAGGTAATTTTAAAATTTATGAATAGAAATAAAACATTGTTGTAAATAAGTATATGCGCTCAGTACTGTCAATCTGATCTACACTTTGATGATAATCTTGAGAATAAGGTCAACATGTCAATCAGAACACGAATTTAAGACAGAGAAAATATTGCAACATCCTTCAAGCCAGAGAATAAGCCTTTTGTATGCATTCACTCTTAAGGATAAGGAACCGTAGTTAGCTTTACAGACAAATAAAGTTTAGAGTTTTCTCTCTTGATTTGTATTTTCTATATTCCGAAGTTTAGTATTATTTTTTGGAAAAAGTCCCATATTTCTGATTCCTATTATGTTTCCATATGTTCTTGAATTAAAATAAAATTATATATTACAAGTCAGATAATCATATATACAAAGCCGACCATTATTTGTTATATTTGCTAGTATTTATACCTTAGAAGGAACTATACTCTCAAAATGTAAATACTTATCATTCTCTGATAACAATAAGTGAATGCATACTTTTATTTAATTCCCATTTGTCTTTTTACTCTAAATTGTAACAATTTCGGACATAATAAATAAAAGAACTCATATTTTTTAGGATAACCTCTGTGTATCATTCCTATATTGATACACTGCTAAAAGACTTTTGTTAATGGCATGTCAATATTCTAAAACAAAAGTTGATGTAGATTCCATCACGAAAAATAGACATTTTAATCCATCTAAAGTATCAGACGGTGTCGACAGTGATATGTTTTGTTAAGATGTGGATTAATTCTGTAAATTGTCTCGACATTTCATTATATAACTCTTATTATAATATGAAAGAGTTAAAAAAAGACATATGAGCCGCGTCATGACAAAACCAACATAATGGGTTTGCGACCAGCATGGATCCAGACCAGACTGCGCATCCGCGCAGTCTGATCAGGATCCATGCTGTTCGCTTACAAACCCTACTACAAGTAAAGAAACTGATAGCAAACAGCATGGATCCTGATCAGACTGCGCAGATGCGCAGGCTGGTCTGAATCCATGCTGGTCGCAAACGCACTATGTTGATTTTGTCATGACATGGCTCATATATGTACAGGGGCGTAACTGAGTTATTTTGATATGTACTTCTTAACAAGGGGGGTTCGGGGGCATGCTCCTCCGAGAAAATTTTTGAGAGGAAGCGATATCCTGACATTTCGTGACTATCTAGAGGCTATATTGACAACAAAGTGATGATGATTTCAAACTCCTTTTTATTAATTTTAAAATATGTAAAATGAAAATTCTAACACTATCGGAAATTTTTCTATATAAACAAAGAAGGCCCGAAGCGTGCATTATTCTACAACAATGCACTCGCCGTTCTTTTTATCTCCCTGTGTATTTTCACATTGAGGGCGCCATTTTGTTTGAAAAATCTGATAAATAAAGACAATTTTTTGTCGAATTTTGTTGTGAAAACTATCTAGAATGAAAGAAAACGGTCTAACTAAGAAAATGAATCCGAACACCAATATCTTTAATTGAGTCGTTAACGCTGTACAGACGTTTAAAGTATTTTTTACCTGACGTCACAATGTAGCGCCAAACAGCACGTGCAAAACAATCAAATCAAGTACGCTATTTTAATGTCGCAAACGAGTTAAGTTTTACATTTATTTCACTTTTAATAATCTTTATTTCACTTGAAAAATTATAGAGTGAAATAAAATAAACAAACAAAGTTTTATCAACGTTTCCAAAATGCGTTATTCTCAAAATGTTTCTACACACGGAAGATTAAACGACAGTTTTTTTCATACCACTGTAACAGCCTTTAAAGAACGTTTCTATTGGAAACTCTGAAGCGAAAACAAATTTAACCACCAAACATAAAGTCCAACATTAGAATAATAATTATATTTTTTCTTGACGTGTTAGAATGGAAATAGATATTAATTCTTTGTGCATTATTGTATAATAATGCACGTTTTTCGTTCAAATGCTATCGGCCTTCGTGATTATATTACTACGCATTTGAACTCAAACCGTGCATTATTCTACAACAATGCACTCAGAATTGATATCTATTTCCTAAATAACGTTATATATACATAAAACTTTTTAAAGTCATAATTGATTTTTTGCAGCAAAAATTGTTATTTTGCGACCTTCAAACTGATGTTATAGCAACAAATCTCCCGTATTCAGTAAATTTTAAACTATTAACTATTAATTTTAAACGATAGACGTCTGTTTTGTTGGTATGCTCGGCTTTTACTACACTATCTTTATAAAAATTTATGAGGCCTAGACCAGACATACGCTCAGTCTCCACCGTACATACTGCTGAGATTTTAGTTCAGCTGTTGCCGTTGACACTGGCTTGACCATTAAAAGGGTCAAACAATGCCTCTAGTTTGGGTACAGAGCCTTACTTCCTTCAGAAAAGCCGTGGCCGCTGGACGGCAATTGTACAATAGTCCATCACATACATCACAACTCACACTGAGAATCTCCGACAAAGATGGATTAATTCACATTTAAATGCGAGGTTCAATGCCCAATGCTCTCTCAGGAAAACCCGTTTCTCTGCACCTTCAGAAGTAGCAACAATATACATGTATTAATATTTAATAATGATAATAGTGTGAAAATTGTGTTTTGGCTTGTTAAATACATGTTTTTCATTACATTTTATTCTCTCAAAAATACCGCGTTATATTAAACGCAAAGATATTTTAAAATCTCCGTAAATTAATTATAAATCGTTGCGTTTAACATAGATAATGTGGTGTAATATGTTACATGTATCTACATCTCTGTTTAAGTGGTAAAACGCATATTTCCTAAAGAGACAATAAATTATGATACAGTATTTCAAAAGGAAATCTGTATACAAACTGCCGCCGACGAAAAAATTCGACGAAAAATATCGTCTGTTCGTTAGGGAGCATATTTGTAATAATTTAGGAATTTATGAAATAAGATAAAACATGGTTGTAAATAGGTATATGCGTTAAGTACTAACAATCTGACCTACACTGTGATAAAAATCTGAGAAAAGGGGTAATGTGAACATGTCAATCCGAACAGCAGTCAAAGACATCTTTCTAGCGAAAAGCCTCTAATCACTACAAAGGGTAAGAAACCGTAGTTAGCTTTACAGATAAATAAGTGTAGGGATGTCTTCCTTTTCTATGTATGTATGTAATGCATACGATCTGTGAACTATTACTTTTTGAAAAAGTCCTGTATTTTCGATTTTTATTATGTTTCCACGTTTTCTTGAATTAAAGTAAAGTTACGTATTACAAGTCAGATAATTATGTATTAAGTTCTGTAACACTGCCGACTTAATATTTTATACACAAATAGACCTTCATTTTAGCTGCTTTGATCAACTATATTTGCTAGTATTTATTTATTAAAAGAACTCACATATTCACAACTTTTTTTTGTTATTCCTTTATTTCTACACTGCTAAAGAGACTTTTAATAACGGCCTGTCAATATTCTAAAGCAAAAGCTGGTGTAGTTTCTATCTCGGTAAATCCATTTAAAGTATCAGACGCAGTCGACATTGATATGTTTTGTAGAACGTGGATTAATTTTGAAAATTGTTCCGACATTTCATTATATTATTCTTATATAGAACCAGACGCAAGTGGAAGACAAATTTCAAAACTGATCCGAACAAACTGTAACGGTCTATGCAGATAGAACAATGTTGATATTAGGGCATTTTGACCATTTATTTTTGTGAAACGTTCTGTTTACGTTTATTTAAAGCCTTTTAAATTTGTATCGTCTTTCGATTATATATTTTTTAACATTAAGTAAATCACTAGGTATATGATAAATTATCAATGAATAAACAATATGTTTATAATAGGGATTGTAAAAGAAATCTTTTTTTTAACAAGTATTCTCCTTTAAAATTTACATATGTATATCATATAAATTACGCATTGAATCAAATAATCATTAATCAGTAACAGTTTGAAGATAAAAATGATAAGGTTTTGTTTGAGTTTGTAAATTTCCAATGACCTTAACTAATTTATATGTAAAGTTACACCATGTGTTATTTCCCAAGATCCATAAAAAGTATTCATTTTATCTAATCAAACCTAAAGACATGACTATTTTTGTCAAAACAAGTTTAAAAGGAAATAGAAAAAATGATTGCATTTGTTTTCTTAGTATTTTTGTTACCTTCCTGTAAAAGTGATACAGATGTATCAAAGGATTCGCTAATTGAGAGACAGACTGCAATCATTAATGAGCTATTAGGAGAGATGAAAGCCCAACAATTAAAGGATCGCAAAGACATTGTGAGAAATCGAGAAGACATCGAAAAGGAAATTCTCGAACTGAAAAAGGAAAACGAAAACCTGAAAGCTATGGTTGTTGGTAAAAACAATGACCAGCATTTGAAGGATGCAGAACGTGTAAAAGATGACAATACATCAGTAATAGGTGTTTTACACACTACCAGCAATCGAGTCAACAAAACCTGACTTCTTGGTAATCCGTAGTTCTAATTAGGTTCTGTTCGCGCCTGAGTACTCAAAACAAGAGATGTAGATAACATGCATGTTATCTATGTCTCTGAGAAAACAAATGAACGGTCATGAAGTCTTAAACAATTTTGCTGTGACTAAAACAAATCATTCAAAATAAAACCGGATCATGTAAGCATGCATTATGAAATGCGATTGGTGTATTTGCCGTATTGGTTTGTGGTTGTAGTTGAAAATGCTCTCGCTTTTATATAAGGATTAAGTCATCGACAAGCCCTTTTACCTGATGTTTTTATTACCTGTAAATATGGAAACGTATTTGCGGTATGAAGTACATATTTTGTCCCGGATTATTGATTGCGACAATATCCCAAATGATACTTACAAGGGTTGTCTCAAAAGTCTGACAAACCTTAAACACGGTTCAGTTTTTACGCTAGTACATAATAATTTACATATATAGCCTGTAAATTTACCATTTTACATAATATCAAATCATTTACAAAACTCTACTCTTGTAACATAAAGATTCTTAAAGTTAATAACATAGGTGTGAGTTCAAGGCGCATGTAAAATACATGTTATCTACATTTTGTTATGGATAGGCTTTAATAAGAAACGTATATTTTAATAAATTAATGATATGTTTGTACAACATCATGTTGACTTCTTCTGTTAATATGATTATGCCATATCCCGAGCATTTGTTTACATATAGCATGAAGGGAAACCAGTTTTTGCACCACAGAATGCGAAAATAAGAAGAAAAAGAATAGAAAAACCGATCTTCGTCTCTTATTTATGGTGGCTGATTTGGTACATTGCGCGTTGCGTTACATCGTTACCGTCTTTTCGTCTTGTCGCTAGCGACAACAGGACAAAGATCCAAACGGCAAGCTGTCGTCTTGCAGTCCTGTTTCTAGCGAAGCACGCAAACGGCGAGTTGTCGCCTTGTCGATTTGGCTTATAAGCCAATCCTTCGATTTGTACCGAGCGACAATGTGACATCGCAACAACACGTCGCACGACAACGCGCCGTTTGGCGTACATCGTTAGCGACAGGAAGACAAATCGAAAGTCTGACGATGCGCCGTTTGGCACCAACACGACGCACAAAAGCGTTCCAAATCAGCCACCATACTTAGCTTAACTTTGTTAACTTTTTTTTTTTTTAAACTTTTTTAGTTTTAAATGTTGTCTAGGCATGTAGACTTATACTTTTAATTGTAAATATGTATATTACATAGTCTTAATATTTATATATTATATTATATATATTATCTGGCATATTTATATGCCAGATATTGTTTTAAAAATGTAAATCAATAGGTCGAACAAAATTGGGAAGGAAGGCTACTGTTACCCTTAATGTTAAAAAGACTCCATATTGTAAATATCCTTACTCCCCCGCCCTGTGTTTATTTTTACTTCTTCTTTTTGTCCTGTATATAAAGCATAAAAGTGTATGTGTCCCCCCATATGGAGCATAAGCTATACGCATACACTCAAGAATGAAGTGGCCTTATATTTGTTAAAAAAGGTCACTTCATCACATTATGGGTAACAAAGATATTTCTTATAGCCATATTTTGGGAAATTTCTAATCTAGATTAGACCATTGATTTAAAATAATTGTTATTTTACAAGTTGTGTGTGTGTGTGTGTGTGTGTGTGTGTGTGTGTGTGTGTGTGTGTGTGTTTGGTTTGTTTACCCTCGCCACCGGAATGAACCATATGGGCGAGCACATACTTTTAATGACTAGCCACATTGAATTGGGGAAATGCGTTCCTGACATTGCTTTAAAAAGACTTTCTTTCTCTCATTTTAATCATAGTATATTATAATAGTTGACCTGTTATAAGAGACGGTGCTTTTTATAAACGTCTCGGCCCTTTTAACCTTAAGTAATTTAAATATGCTGTTCATTTCTTAAATACACGTCATTTTAACTTAGTATGGGAGCAATCCCATCTTATTCCTATCATGGGTTACGTACTTTTATACGAACTTGTGGTAGGAATTATGGCACACACGTAAACACATGTACCGATAAAACTATAGATAAATTAAATTAGTTCCCATATAAATAAAGCAAGTTTTAAATGAAGTATGTGCTCGCCCATATGGTTCATTCCGGTGGCGAGGGTAAACAAACCAAACACACACACACACACACACCATACTTATTTCTCACAGCTGAAGCAGTTGAAACAAAACCGGAATTTCGATTCTAGTGAGGAATTAATGTCTGCTACCCCAATTAACAGATACCAGTAACCACATGATTTATGTTTGTTATTGACTATTCATGGTTAATGGATTAATAGCCGCAGAGAGTACTTTGAGAAAGGGGCATAATGTAGGTTTAACGCTGTCTTTGACGTGAGCCATGATATTCAAAGTTGCTTTGCTATTTATTTTATCATTTTTGTCCATATGTTTCATGTAAATTTGTGACAACGTTTCAATTGTATGAGTTTAACATAATATCTTATTCGTTCCTATCTAATTTAGATTTTAAACAATCTTGACAAACAGCAATTTTATTGTGGCAAATTGTATAGACTGTGTATTAATTACTACATTATCACTAGCAAATTTATGTAAGCTCTATTCAATACAGCTTTGCAGAGAAATTGTCTTTCTTGTCAATGAACATGTCTGATTTCTTATTAATAAATATTTCTAATTTCTACGTTATCAGCTTTCACACAAGCGCCATTTCCAACTCAGAATCCAAGAAAACCTGCTTTCTCCGCTAAACTGTCTGCATATGACCACCAACTTACCGATTCCGAAACGATAAAATTCGACGTCGTGATGACAAATATTGGAGGTCACTATTCCAGCGCAACAGGTCAATTCATAGCCCCTACAGACGGAACCTACTTCTTTTTAGCTACTACTTTTTCATGTTACAACCAATATATGAAGACATTCCTCTATCGTAACGGTGAGTACCTGCTGTCAATGCAGGCTGATGGTGATGACGGACACGAAACTGGGTCAATTGGCATTGTTCTAGAGCTCAGTCAAGGAGACTACGTGTATATCATCCATAATGGAGATAACGGCAATTGCATCTATGGAGAATTTTCCAACTTTTCAGGATTTCAAATTTAGAATGAATTTAAAGAATTGTAATTATATGAAGCATTAAAAAGATAGAATTTATGTGTTTTCAAAATTCTGTGCTTTAACGTTATTACTGTCTCTTAGACGCTGTACCCTGGAACGCATTTTATGCTTGTAGCAATATGTTTTACAAAATATACCAATAATGGCAAAAGTCCATTCACTTTAAACTAAATTTTCTTGGAACTGGTTAAAAATTACCTATTTTTCACTATGCCAACTTTGGTGAATATTCGGAAAAAAACGGAAAAGAGATGACCCCTCTGTGGCAATGAAAACAAAATTATATCAAAGTTTGCAGACTTGGTTTGTTCAAGTCTATTCATAAAAGATAATGTTAAAGTGAAGCATCTCTCACCTCCCTAGCACCGGCACAGGCGGTATTCAATCTTAAACACGAAAAAAGTGATAACTTTAAAAAAAAAACATTTTTCAAACTAAAACAAGTGTTTTGGACCTAAATAGGACATTTGGTCAATATTTGAGGCCTCAAAAGGGGTGAAAAGGCGTGCAAACAGATCTATGTGAGGTAAAGGGTTAATTTATATACTATGAACGTTCATATAATATTTTGTTCCAGAACGTCTTATTATCCGCTATATTGATATATGTTATATCGAAACATGTATCTCACACTAGCCAGCAATATCCATTGTATATAATTTTTTGATTCTACTCAGCCATTAAGTTTTCCAAAACAAATGAAATTTGCCTCCTCAAAATCTTCAAATTGTGGAATTGAAAATGTTTTACAAATGCTTAAAAGTGACGAGCCCATTCCGACATCATTTGATAAAAAATACATTTCGTATGTAAAAAAACATAATTATTATTTAATTACGTAATGAATAAGTACCACATTTTGACGCAATTGATAAATGCCATCAACGATTAAACTTGAGGGATGTCGCACGTATTCATTATCCCTCATGTACAGACTCAATCATACCGAGTCTGCAATTCTCTTGTTATTTTGTTGTGATAAATGCTCTTTGTTGCAAGGTTTTTATTTTAAAAGATACACTGCAATACATTTTGTGCGTAGAATAAACAAACGTCTGCACATTTTACCTAGGTGAATGGAATGTATTTAAGATATATTTTAAGGCATTAAGTCCACTTGACACATACAAAAGAAAAAAATAAAATAAAATAGACGAATACATTTACGTAGTTCAAAACAGCATATGTGAATTATAACTCATCGAATATGTAGAATTTAACAAATAAGTACAATGCAGACAAGTAAGAACACAATTGAAGTGTATGTAAAACATAACATAAATGTTATACACCGACACAGACCAGGAATATAACTAACACACATATTTTATTTATCTATATATCATATGTTACACAAATTAATTGTGAATTTTTTCTTTAATAATAGTAAATCAGTATATGTTTAGCGTAAATTAGACTGACCGAAATAACATTTGCAATCATTTCTGTTAATATGATATGAAAGAGTAATTGATACAGGGGTTTACCTAAGGTCAGCACAATATTTTCCCTCATATTCTTATGTATATCTGTATCTACACTGACACTCACTGGCCATTTTCCATTCTAACCTGGCTTAACAGAAACACATTTTAAGAGAGTATACATGTTTGTTATAAGTTTGATTGTTCTGAATGTTTAATGCGATCAATGCGCGTTTGTTGTTTCTGGCGCTGTTGTTTCTGGCGCTGTTACTAGTATAAAGATGTCTGACAGGTTATATTCAATAAACACGGCTGTTAGATTATATATCTTTAATACAGCATAATTAATTGTTTTAGAAAAAAGAAGAAAAAAAAAATAAATAACAAAAACGAATCTATAGTCGTGTACATAGATTACATAAACGCCATTATATCATAAAACCGGCTATTTTCCCTTCTTCTGTCAATGTTTTAACGGGACCAAAACCGTTCCTCGGGACTCTGCAGACGTTTAAACACGGAAAAAAACGTGCATTAACCCTATAATATCATCCAATGAAAAGCAATGTTACAAACGTGAAATTTAAAATTCGGTAATATTTTTTTTATAAATAATGCTTTTTGGAACTTACAAAATTGATAAATCTTAAAGATCCTGTGACACAATATTTTTTTATAGTTTTGTATCATAAATATAATCAATATTATCAATTTTATAAGTGCCAAAAAGCATTATTTATAAACATATTACCGAATTTAACAGTTCATGTAAATAAGGGAGGTAATAAAAATATTTCCTAAAATGTCTAAGTCAAATTTTTCAATAAGAAATGAATGCATATATTTTAATGACTACATATAATATGGACAAATATTTGCAGTACATATTTTACATATTCTTCGATGTTATAAGCATAATTATATACATATACATAATTTCACTTAAATGTGGTTTACATGCGGTGGTTGAACCGTGCTCTGGTGAATTCAATGCGGCTTCCTGTCGTAATCCGAAGTGAAAACTACCAACACAACCACAATCTGGTTTACAACCTCAATCAAACAGGATTTACACTAAGTTTAAGTTAGCTTGTATAAAGTGAACATTTTAACAATTTAGAACTCAGGGTCACTCCCTACGGGTCACTTCGGCTTGGGTTCTTGTTTGTAATAAACACTAACATATACAAGGGAGAAAAAAATCATGAAAAAAAAATGAATGGCAGTTCATCACCCTGACGATTCACCCATTAACTGTTTCTCCCCTGACAGTTTTCCCTTAATTTAAAATATAATCAGCTATCTCTCCAAAAAGATATTTATCATTTATTTATTTTCACTTTTTTAGGTATCTTATTGTTTTTTCCCTACATGATAAGATGTGTTGGAAGTGAAGGCAACTTTTTCCCCATTGATTTACTACATTTACAAATTGTACATATATGGATGAACCAAAAATCTTTAAAGAATTTATGTACAATCATGTAGAATCAAATTAAGACTGTTGAAAGTGTAAATCTTGCAGAATGTATGATCATAAATTTATCATATGAAAAACACATGACAATTCACATGTATTTATGAAAAAACACGTGATAACCTTGAGTTTTAGATATGTTTGTTGACACTTGTTTTTCATTTGGTCCTCTTTAACATATGTTATTTTACATATGAAAAAATATGTTCTTAAACACATGTTTTTCAAAACATATGAAACACATATAGTTTACACATGGAAAACATATGGTGTACCAAACATACAACAAACATGTGGTGCATTTTTACGTGTGTATATTACCACTATTGTTTTGCATATATCTACTGTATTGAGCCGCGTCACGACAAAACCAACATAAGTGCGTTTGCGACCAGCATGGATCCAGACCAGCCTGCGCATCCGCGCAGTCTGATCAGGATCCATGCTGTTCGCTTACCGATTCTATTACAAGTAGAGAAACTGATAGCGAACAGCATGGATCCTGATCAGACTGCGCGGATGCGCAGGCTGGTCTGGATCCATGCTTGTAGCAAACGCACTCTGTTGGTTTTGTCATGGCGCGGCTCATATGTCTATTCCTTCATCACTTAAAAGGCAAATGCAATATTCATTACATATACAACAGTTGTTGCAAGAATCTACATATATATTTTTTTACATCTTGTTTGTTTAAAAAAAATAAATAAAAAGCCCAACTCTGATAATATAGTTCAATATAATTGGAAATAAAAGAAAGTAAAAGAACGAATGTCACAAACATAGACAATTTTTTATGTTTCATTTCATGACATGTACAATTTGAATTTATAAGAAGATAGTTTTGAGATTGGTATATATAGACAACAGTATGTAAGTTCTACTTCAGTATCAATAAAGAAGAGGGCCATGATGATGATATATATTTACAGCTGAATGTCAGCACGTATATGTAAATGAAAATTTATGCTATACTGATACAGTTTGACAGTTATGGCTGAATATATGGTGGTGTTCCAAACATAACATTTCACCGTGGAGAACGTGTTACTTACACATTGAATGAAAAACTTATTTGTTTCGTGGATGTTATAGTTTTTATAACTGTTTTAACACAGTGATATGTGTACAATATATTCTTTAAAAAGATTGTGATGGAAATTATATGACAATTATAATTATTTAGTGTGTATGGACATAAATGATAATTTTGGAGATATTTGACAAATATTTTATATCATCGGATCCTAAAGGTAATTCTATGTCGCATGAACTTCCTTTGTATAATGTGTTTTTATGTTTATTTTTGTATTTATTTTAGGGAACTATCTTTGAATGTAATAATACAACTTTTGATACGATACTTGAAATCACTACATTGAAATCTGCATTTCATTTATGGCATTAAACGTTCTCATTAAACAGTTTTTGATATTGTTTGAATATACTAACTTTAATCTTGATGTCATCTTAAAAATAAAATCAGAAAAATACAATAATGTTCAATTAAAAAAAGAAAGAAAAAAACCCCCCACAAAACTTAGTATTTTAGTGTTGTTTCTTTGTGACTCAAAGCCTCTTTAAATATTGCGTCTTCAATTAAGTATGGAGTGTCTACATGTTTTTAGGAAGACGAAAACGGTTTTAGATGATATCTGTTTATCTATTCGTAGATGGTTGATGTAGTGATTAAAATGTTTCAGTTTATATTAACGTACCATAAAAAATTCCAATACATAACAATAAATTACTCCGGTTATCTCTTTTATCAAAGAGACCAATTTTCACACACCATAGGAAACATCCTCATTGAATTATCGGAAACAATTTCAGCAAACAGGCGGAAACAATTTGACCGAACGTTTAACCGTGCCATTTTTAATTGACATGTCAATCAAATATCGATCATATACTTTTATATTTGACATGAAATTAGTTTTACTAAAGGTAAGAATTTAGTTTGAAATTTGAATATTTATTTTTCTATCTGTTAGAGATCAAAGTATTTGGAACTATTCATAAAGATTGCATTGTCTATATCAAGTTAATTTTGAAAACATACAATAATGTTTTAGGACTTTTCTTCT